TAATTGGTACTCAGTATTTGGTTGTGATACTCAGTATCCAGGAATCAGTAGTCAGCTTAATGAAGGTTGTAGTCCGAGTCTAGGTGAGTTTATTTGTAGTCTTTTCTTGTCCATTGGTTACCATGTGACCAAGATATAAGCTAAAGAAATCCAATACATCAATAATGACAAATGAAATACATGTGTGTAGTAAGTGAGTCTAAAGATAAAAGAATGAATATTAATAGTGAGACTTGCACATTATGTCGAGATATACAACATAACAAGCCTGTGATGTGATCAGAGACCTGGAATAACACCCATATACATCCATTATAATAGCTTAAAAGCTTAGAAAGATTCATGAAGGATTGATGTAATGATAGGCAAAATGACATATGTGTGGAGAGTGACAATAGACATCTTTTATACAAAGTCACATTTATATATGATTCAGGCTGAAAATATCATTACAAATAACTTTCATTTTTCATTATCGCTGATGTTTCAGATTTCTTTAGCTTATATCTCAGTCAAATGATAACTGATGGACAAGAAAAGACTACCAATACACTCCCCTAGACTCAGACTACAACCTCCGGTAAGGAAGTTAAGCATAATAACAACTTTCATTTTTCATTATCATTTGCCTATATTGACTACCAACCACCAACCACCAACTACCAACTACCAACTACTGAATACCGAGTACCGAGCACTGACAAATACAATTCCCAAGTGATTTGAACCCTACACCAATGGATAATACATACAAATATAGAATTCATGTCCATTTGAAGTACCGGGTTTCAGGTTTTGGCACTCGGCACTCGGCACTTGGTAATTTGTGCAATGAGTAGATGGGCATGTGGCATACATGTTTTTGGGCTTCGTGTTTCAGGATTCGGCCCTCAGCACTCAATGATCTGTGTAATGTAAATGAACAATGAACATGTTGCACACCCGGTTTTGAGTTTCGGGTTTCGGCACTTGAAACTCAGTGATCAGTGCAACAAGTGAAAAATGGAAATGTTGCATACATATTTTCAGGTCTTGGGCTTTCCGGTGAAATTGTGGTCCCAGATGAACCAGGCAACCTCCTGCCAGAATATGATTCTTCTGATGAGGAGATGGATGTTGAGGTGAAGGTTGATCATCCTGGTGAGAAGGTTGAAATGGCTACATAATTGCTCAGTGATAGATGTACATAAATCTTTTTCAATGCATGTTACCTATGCCACAATTGAATGATTCAATCATTGAGTTCCAATATCCAGAATTAGAAACTGTAGATTGAGGTAGATATCACCCGAAACCCAAACACCCTAACACCCGAATGTCAAATTTTCACAGTGCCGAACCTCGAGTGCCGGGTGCCGGGTGCTGAGTCCCAAAACCCAGAACTCAGGACTTGACATTTAAAATGAAACACATTTTTCAGACATGTTTGAATCTGCCTACATATATCCATAAACATTTTACTAACCCCCAAACCCTGACAAATATCTTTGTCCAGTCCCACATATTGAGTCCTGAGTTCCGGGACCCCCGAACCCCGAAACCCAGCAGTCCACAATTTCGGGGTTCGGGGGTTGGTAAAATGTGTATGGATATATGGAAGGTTGATTTAAACATTTTTGAAAGATGTTGCATATGAAATGTCAAGTCCTGAGTTTCAATTTCTGGGTTTCGGGAGTCCCGAGTCCCGAAGCCCAGAGTCCCAAAACCCAGAGTTATGTCAAATTTTCAGTGCCGAACCCCAAGTGCCGGGTGCCAGGTGCCAAGTCCTGAAACCCGGAACTCAGGATTTGACATTTGAGATGAACATCATTTTTCAGACATGTTTATATGAACCTACGTATATCTATAAACATTTTACTAACCCCCAAGCCCCGAAATATATTTTTGTTGTCTCACATCCCAAGTTCCGAGTTCCAGGACCCCCAAACCCCCAAACCCGGCAGTCCACAATTTCAGGGTTCAGGGGTTGGTAAAATGTGTATGGATATGGAAGGTTGATTTAAACATTTTTGAAAGATGTTGCATATGAAATATCAAGTCCCAAGTGCCAAGCCCCAAAGCCTGGAGTCCCGAAACCCAGAATTCAAAACTCAGGACTTGACATTTGATGAGACATCTTTCAAAAATGTTTAAATCAACCTTTCATATATCCATACACATTTTACCAACCCCCGAACCCCTAAATTGTGGACTGCCGGGTTTCGGGGTTCAGGGGTCCTGGAACTCGGAACTCAGTATGTGAGACAAAAAAAATATATTTCAAACATGGGTAAGTCAATGTGTTTGTCAATCAACTTGATTGTAAATCAAATTTTATTGATCTCCCCAAATTTCCCAAGTTCCGAGTTCCGGGACCCCCGAACCCCAAAACCCGGCAGTCCACAATTTAGGGGTTCGGGGGTTGGTAAGAACTCAGGAAATTTGGGGAGATCAATAAAATTTGATTTACAATTGAGTTTATTGACAAACACATTGACTTACCCATGTTTGAAATATATTTTGTTCTACATACCGAGTTCTGAGTTCTGGACCCCTGAACCCCAAAACCCGAGACCCAGCAGTCTTGGGGTTCAGGGGTCCAGAACTCAGAACTTGTGGAAATTTGGGGAGATCAATAAAATTTGATTTACAATTGAGTTTATTGACAAACACATTGACTTACCCATGTTTGAAATATATTTTGTTCTACATACCGAGTTCCGAGTTCCGGACCCCCGAACCCTGAGACTGCCGGGTCTCGGGTTTCGAGGTCCAGGGGTCCAGAACTCGGAACTCGGTATGTAGAACAAAATATATTTCAAACATGGGTAAGTCAATGTGTTTGTCAATAAACTCAATTGTAAATCAAATTTTATTGATCTCCCCAAATTTCCACAAGTTCTGAGTTCCAGACCCCCGAAACCCAAGACTGCCGGGTCTCAGGTTTCGGGGGTCCGGAACTCGGAACTTGGTATGTGCAAACAAAATATATTTCAAACATGGGTAAGTCAATGTGTTTGTCAATCAACTCGATTGTAAATCAAATTTTATTGATCTCCCCAAATTTCCACAAGTTCCAAGTTCCGGACCCCCAAAACCCAAGACTGCCGGGTCTCAGGTTTTGGGGTTTGGGGGTCCAGAACTTGGAACTCGGTATGTGTAAACAAAATATATTTCAAACATGGGTAAGTCAACGTGTTTGTCAATCAACTCGATTGTAAATCAAATTTTATTGATCTCCCCAAATTTCCCCAAGTTCTGAGTTCCGGGACCCCTGAACCCCAAAACCCAAGACCCGGCAGTCTCGGGTTTCAGGATTCGGGGGTTGGTACATCTCGGTTTGAGGTTTGGCACTGAAAATTTGACATATATATTTTTGTGAGTGTTGTGCTTCTGGTGTCCATGCTTATAAATAGGATATGCACACCAGGGTTCAGGTGTGGGGTTTTTCCACTTCAGTCCTCGATTATTGGTCAATGCCACACATGGTCGATTCATGTTTTTGTGCTTAGGGGTTTAGATTTGGTGGTCGATGGTAGGTATATGCACTCATAGTGTACATGTATCCTATGTGTTTGATTCACTGGTGGCTACATCAGCTGTATGTCTTGATGGAACATATCTAGGCTCACCCATATATGTACCCATATATGTACAATTCCCCTACATCAGCCCACCCATCTATGCATTATCCCCCATGTCGGCCCACCTGTCTATGTAATACATCCTATGTTGGCCCACCCGTCTATATAATACATCCTACATCAGCCCACCCATCTATATAATTATACCCCACCTCGGCCCACCTGTCTATGTAATAAATATTTTATCGCACCCTCGGCCCACCCATCTATTTGATATCCCTTTCATCAGCCCACCCGTACATGGAATACTTTTCACGTCAGCCCACTTGTATATGTAATACACCCCATGTCAGCCCACCCGTCTATGTAATATTCCCCTACATCGGCCCACCCATATATGTAATACACCCCCGTCGGCCCGCCCATCTATATAACAATATTTGCCTTACATCTCTCTTCAGCCCAGCTGTCTATAATATCCTACTCTACATATTACCCGGATGGGCCCACCCATCTCCATGAATGATCATATTCCCCCAGCCTATCCATCAACATCAAGGATATATATATCATTGGCATACATGGGCCCACCCGTCTCCATTGGAAATAATATGTGTCCTGGCCCATCCATCATCATTGAGAATATACACAACATGGGCCCATGATCCGCTGGCCCGTCTCATACGGGATATTATGGAGGTCGGGTGGCCCATATAATATGGAATTTGTCACTGAAGGGGCTCCAGCAAGGCGCCTTCATTCAACGGGGAAACTTCCGAGCTACTCAAATTCCTGGAACTATTCGAGGATTTGGCATTGTTGTGTGCACTCTCTGAGGCCGACAAGTGTAAGATGATAGTTTGCTACGTCAATCGCAAAATCAAAAGATTTTGGCTAATGCTCACCGGGTACGAGAGTCAGGATTACGCCTTGTTCAAAATGAGTACATTGGCGCCATATTCGGGAGCTGATAAGGGTCAACAATATTCTATTCATGATCTAGAACGCATCGTTATCCACAACATTGACAACAACATTTCAATGGAGACTGAGTTGTTACAGTACTACAGGCAGTTTTGTCCAGTTGCCCATTGGCTCGTCGCCAACAACAAGATATCTGTGCAAGAACAAGATCATTATTTTTGGCAAGGACTTCCCGCAGCCACTCGACGTGCCATTGACAGACGACTCGAACTCAAGAACACTAACTATTCTAGAACGGAAGCCACAGATTTCAAAGAAGTCCTCAAGGTGGGACATTTTGTGTTCTCAGACAATGCCTTTGATGCGGATCTCAACGAGCTGATAGCGACCAGAATTCGAACCATATGAGAAGGACACACCAATAGAGTGAAGACTCCTGCTCCCTGGGACTCAGATGACGAAGAAGAAAGGAAGGATGCTCGAAGAGAGGTACAAACCAAACACGTCGCATTCATGCCACCTCCACCAGTTCCCGTCAAGAACACCATCAATGAAGTTGAAGCATTGGCTCGCAAGATGCATGGCCTTGACATTGGTGATGTCGCATACTTGGGCTGTTATACTCGGCTGGTTTGCCTAGCACCAGCAGCCGCGCAAGCCTGGGCACCTCCAAAATCCAGACAAGTTGTCAATACACCTGCCCCAGTCCACAGTACACTACCATATCTTCCCCTTCCCCCTGTCCCATCCTCATCCAACCATGCATCCAACACCAAGTGCTTCTTCTGTGGTGGACCACACATTATGCGAACCTGCTCTACAGTGGGGGAATACTTGCGTGCTGGAAGGATTTTCTGTGACGGGCTGTACTTTGCATACCCGGATCACTCACACATATGGCATTACGGAGACGAGACCTTCAAGCAGGTTATCGATGCACGATATGCCACAGCACAGCCGTCGACACCTGCAACAGGAGCAAATTCAATCGTCCTCGACAACCCTTGATGAGAACCCACCTCGCAACCCATCTCCTCCGATATTCCTGGTTCCGCCTTCATAACCGAATCCTTCTTTCTACAGTGTGAACCAGTAAAGTCAAACCATGCAGTAATCGTGACGGTTGAAGATGAGGAAAACGAAAGGGAAGTAGAGACACTTGCCGTCACTAGATCAAAGTCTAAAGCAGCCAGCACCCAAGAATGAGCTCTTCCACCAGTACTACCTCCTACATGTTCTGTCTCTATTCCGGCTCCTCCTGTCACGACTCCCACTCTCCCTGCCTCAATTCCTGCTTCATCCCAGCCTGTGGAACCTGTGACTACCGAAATAAAGAAAGAACCAGCCTTTCGGTATGAGTCTAAGGCAAACTCACCGGATGCAGCGAAACGACTCTATGAGACAATCCTTGGCACCACCATTCCTCACTTGACGATATCTGAGCTCCTCTCAATCAGCCCTGAATTGCGAAAGGAAGCAGTTGAGCACTCCCGCTGTATGTGAGGAATGATAGCTAGATGAGAAGGGGTGAAAGGGGAAGAAGGGTGAAGTGGGGTAAAACTCAAATAGACCTCTGGATGTGAGTATATGATTCGGCCCAAGGGGATTGCTACTGAGAACAATTCCTCTATATAAAAGTGGAGGGAAATCACTGAAACTAATAAGGGTGGTTGAGAATGGATGGAACACAAATGTGATGTGAGCGCGAGCGAGCCGCTGTTGACGCAGCACGGAACGAGGTTGAGCAGCCAAAGATACGTTAATGCGCGATAAAGCGCGGCCATGCGGGAAGATATGCGGGCGCCGCGAAGTATTACTACGAAGCGGCCAAGCGGCCAAGCGGCCAAGTGACGAGGACAGCGGATTCATAAGTAGCACAATGACTACGGAAGCAAGAAGCTGACGGAATGACGCGAAAGGCCGATAGATACGTGTGGCGGTTGACACAAAGTTTAGACTTTTGGTTCAGACAGTAATGCGTGCAAGTGAGTGATGGATTCTATATGGGAGGTAAGAGATACATGAAATTCGTAAGTACAAGTATATATGAGGATGCGCCGAAGCACTATTCGGAGCTGAGTAGGTAGCGGCTGTAGGTAATAAGGGTCCATGATGAAAGTAATAGTGATATAAACGAATTAGCATCGGAAATATGGTCAGTCTATTCCAAAACAAGTGAAATATGCACTGATAGACCAGCGGAGGACATGGATAGGACAGGATAAGGATGCGCAATGGGGCCGAGTAAAAGCCGTTACAGTCTGATATATGCGCGTGAGCCGCGGTCGTTGGCTGATAGCGGAAAAGATGCGCACCACATTAGCGTTAGCGCACGCAATGCGAGGACCTATGGGACAACGCAAAAATAGCCTTTACAAGGCCACAAGGACTCTAAGTCCTACACTGCACCCAGCGTGTACCCGCACTCACCTCACCTTCAGCAAAGGCTCTCGTCGCAACATCCAGTACACCCCCCCTGCAGATCGAGCATGTGACACCATTACATGAAATTCACGTAACACTAAACGGAACGCACTCAGAACTAGTGTTGTTGGATGAAGGACCTGAGATTGTCATTATTCGACAAGATGTCTGGGAGAAGACCAATGCACCTATCAATCAAGACGTCCAGATGCGCATGCAGACCGCAAATGGGAGCTCACAGGAAATGGCCGGATGCTTGGAGATGTTGGAAATAGATGTAGAAGGCATCAAGACCTGGGCTCATGCCTACATAGTACCAGAAGCTCCTTACTGTTTGCTTTTAGGACGACCCTGGCAGTGTCTTGTTTGTCTTTCAAAAACCAAAGACACTGATAATGTCCATGTATCAGTTCATGACCCAAGGGATCCCAATAACTCGCAAACCATCAAAACGACTCCTCGTCCCTGGGCCCACCCATCCCTTGCATTAATCACATCAATGTTCTCCCCCATTACTTCCTTTCTGTCATCCTCGTTGACAAGCTCGACGGATATTTATCATACCACCCTGCCTACTAGTTCTACCAATATACATCATCCTTCCTCTCTGACCAATTCTACCAATATCTATCATACTATTCCCCCCATCATCTCTTCAAATACCTCCTCACACTCCCTATCAACGACTCGTCTAATAACGCCTATTCCTATATCCCGTCTTGTCTTCTCATCCTTTGCCGAATTCCTTCTCCAATCATACTTCGACATTGATCCAGTCTGTCGCACCTTCGCCTATAAGAAGGTCGTGAATAAGGTAAAGCCGGTGGCAACGACAATGCCAGCACACATGCGGATCATCCATCGTTTTCCAGAAGACCCTCTCGCATCTTTGCCATTGCTTTCCCGCACACCCCCAGCCTTCATACCCAGCACTCGTCTTACCCAAGAACAAATGAACAAGCTCAGAGTCTTCAAGAACGAGTTCCTTCTTCCTGAAGAATGGAAACTCACTGCTCACATTCTGATGAACAACGAGCTTGTGCTTGCCTGGGATGAGAACGCTTCTGGGACGATTATTTCCACCCATCATTATACCCACTATAGAACATATGCCATGGACTCACTGCCAACCTCCAATTCCCTCAGGTATTAAAGACGAGGTAGTCAAACTAATCAAATCCAAGATAGCCTCAGGTGTTTACGAGGTGTCCAACTCATCCTATCAATCCCACTGGTTCTGCATCACAAAGAAAAGTGGAGCAGTGCATATCGTGCACGACTTACAACAGTTGAACTCTATCACTGTCAAAGACACTGCCACAATGCCATATGTTGAACTTTTTGTGGAACAATGCGCAGGACAGGCTATATACTCCATGATGGACCTTTTCATCAGGTTTGATCATCGCGCCCTCGCTGAAGAATCACAAGACATCACCACATTCAAAACCCCCCTCCCACAAGGATGGACTGACTCCCCTGCCATTTTCCAAAACAATGTTGCATTCATCCTGCAAGCTGAAACTGAGGTCACACCAAATTTCCAAGACAATGTTAACATTTTAGGACCTTCCACGCGCTATAAACTGCCTGACGGTTCATATCAGACTCTCCTCGAGAACCCGGGAATCCACAGATTTGTATGGGAGCACTGCACAGATGCTAATCGCGTACTTCACCGACTTAAGCACGCCGGTGCTACGGTATCTGCTAAGAAACTGTTCCTCTGTGTTCCAGAAGTCCTGGTAGTAGGTCAGCTTTGCACATATGAGGGACGCATACCCGACCACTCGAAGGTCTCCAAAATCCAAGCTTGGCCACCCTGTTCCACATGCACTGAAGTCCGAGGCTTCCTGGGCACAGCCGGCACTGTTCACAACTGGATCCAAGACTTCGCTCTCATTGCCCGCCCACTGACCAGCCTTACACACACCAACATCTCCTTTGAATGGACCTCAGAAGCGCAGAACGCCATGGACAAACTGAAAATGGCCGTCGCTAATTCCCCTGCAATCCGACCTCTCAACTATCAATCTACCAATGAAGTAATACTTGCCGTTGACTCATCACACATTGCTTGCGGTTGGATTTTGCAGCAGCTCGACAATGAGAAGTGTCATTGACCAGCCCGTTTTGGCTCTATCACATGGAATGACCGAGAAGGGCGATACTCACAGTCAAAAATTGAATTTTATGGGTTGTTTCACGTGTTGAAAGCAGTCAAAGTCTGGATTATTGGGGTAAAAGACCTTGTAGTGGAGGTCGACACAAAATACATCAAGGGGATGCTGAATAATCCCGACATTCAGCCAAACACTGCAGTTAACTGATGGATAGCTGGAATCTTACTTTTCGATTTCAGACTCAGACACGTTCCCAGAACCAGGCACATTGGTCCTGATGGTTTATCTCGATGATGCAAGGCCCCGCAGGATGATGAAGAGGACATGACAGAAGAAGTTGACGAGTGGATAGAGGAGATTTTGGACGCAGGGATTTGGGTATCAAAGGAAGCTGACCATGGACTACTCCACTCCAACAGCGCACTTGTTTTTGCGGTGGAACATTCAGATAATGTGGATCTTACCATTCCTTCCAATGACACCCTTAAATGCCTCGACATCGAGCTTCATGCAATCCATCATTACCTCGACAATCTTTCCCTTCCTGACACCATCCTTGCCAAAGATCGACTTCGGTTGACTAAACGCACTCACCAGTTCTTTGTTCGAGGACAACAACTTTGGTGAAAAGAATCAGGAGGCCGTCATCAGCTTGTTCTATTTGGCCTGGATCGTGCTCGCATCCTCAAGCAGACACACAATGAGCTTGGGCACAGAGGATTTTACCCCACGCAATGAACAATCACAGATCGCTTCTGGTGGCCTTCGCTCAACAATGACCTCATGTGGTACCTAAAAATGTGTCATCAATGCCAAATTCGCTCTGTTGAGAAGGTTGTCCTCTCTCCCACCATTTCAATTCCAGCCCCCCTCTTCTGTAAAACCTTCGCCAATTCCATGTACATGCCAACAGCGCATAGTTTCACATATATCGTCCAAGTGCGCTGCTCTCTATCTAATTGGCCCGAGTTTCGCATGTTAAGGAAGGAGACTGGACGCACCTTGGGTGCATTTTTTTCGAGGATATTCTTTGTAGATGGGGAGAAATTGAGGAGATCGTCACGGACAATGGCACACTATTTGTCGCTGCACTTGATTGGTTGGCACAAAAGTATCATATTCATCATATTCACATCTCGGCATACAATTCCAAAGCTAACAGAGTTGTGGAACGCTTGCACCGTACCATTTGCGGCTCCCTTGTAAAGGCATGAAATGGTGACATCACCAAGTGGCCCACCTTTGCACACCACGTATTCTGAGCCGACCGTGTTACCACTCGCCAATCTACAGGATTCTCGCCCTACTATCTAGCACACGGTGTAGAACCCCTCCTCCCTTTCGACTTCATCCATGCAACCTTCATGCTTCCTGATATCACAACCCTTCTCTCAATGCAGGACCTACTCGCCACCCACACTTGCCAACTTGCCAAACACGACGAAGATCTTGCTATAGCACACACCCGCCTCCTGAAAAGCCGCCTTGCCTCCATTCATGACTTCGAGAAGTGTTTTGCCAACACCATTCACAACTACAATTTCGCTCCCGGCTCTCTCGTCTTAGTTCTGAATAAACGGATCAAGCCAGCATCAAATGCAAAATGCAAACCTTGTTATTTCGACCCCATGGTTGTTGTCTCCCGCTCTCAAGGAGGATCTTACCACCTCGCAGAAATTGACGGCACAATCTCCAAATTGAAGTTCGCAGCTTTCCACATTATCCCCTACCACCCACGCTCCCCCACCTCTATCAAAGTCACCCAGTTCATCGACCCTCAAGCTCTCGCAGGAATGAATGATGAGCAGTCTTAGATGTGTTCTCTCTATTTTTCCGTTTCCTCTCTCATTCTGCTAGAATCATTCTATTTTATTACACATATTTTTAGTTTTATTGTTGGAAGATAGACCGAGGATGGTCGATATTCGAAGTAAGGAGGGGATGTAAGGATTCCATATCCTCTACACCCTGACTACCACTTCATAATAAAACTTAAGGACTTATGTCCTGACATCCACGTGACTCACTGACACGAAGAAGCGTTACGCTTCGCGTCCGAGTCACACAGACACATTCTCTGTTCTTACCTTCACTATCTCGTTATTCTCAACGACCAGCTTGGTCTTTCACCCCTTTTGTCACTCTCTTTTAGTTTCATTCCTTTGCTCCAAAAACAGTCAAGTGCCCAATGGTTCTCGTCATTCCTGTGCACGGTGAGCTGCATATTACCATCTTTTATTCAAAACTAACATACTCTCACTCATTTCCATTACTCCTACCCTGTCAGGCTCAGTGCCACCACTCTCTGTCTCACTAAACCTTCACTTTCGTAATAACCAAGGACCCTTACTCTCTCATAGATAAAATACGGCCTTGTAGACTCATTTTGAATGTTGGTTGATTTCCCCACTACGAGCTCGTGCCAGATCTTAAGACAGTCCTTTCCCTTGAGCCAGGCAATTCCCTCATCAAACTCAATGCACACCTTATAGGAATGCCATCCACCACTTGCTTGGCTGGCCTGTTACGCACTCAAATAGATCTGTTATGCGGAGCTCTAAGAGAGGCGTCGTCCTCTAACGTTTGTGACGTAACCGGAAGGGTCCGGTGTAGCGACTGAGACTGGCGACGATGAGTCGGCAGATATCAGAGACGCGCGTGTCACGTGACTTCTAAGATGGATGTCTTCAAAGTCACTGACGTTCTCAAAGTAAGGACAGTCTTGTCCGAACGATGAGTAGTCGATCGAGGTAGACTTAGGCGCGATGAGCACCTAAGAAAAGATACTAGAGACTGAAGCTGAGGGGGCTTCAGAGGGAAGTATGTTCGAGGGAAGATTGAGTAGATTCAAGTTAGGGAATCTAGTACAGAGTGACCGACTACTTATGCTAAGTGGAAAGGGTTAAGGGCAAGGCTACCGTACTGTAGGTAAGGGCAAAGGGGAAACGGAAAGGGTATAGGTACGCTGGTAGCAGAGCCTGATTAGTGATGTGAGGTCAAATGCGGAATGAGACCGAGAAACATTGGAATGAGCCAATGGTAAATGATACAATGTGCAGCACGCATGAGTCAGAGGAAAGATAAGACAAGATAAGGAAAGCCACATTGGTGGCACGAGTCAGAATGAGTCATAGCCCGAAGGCACGTGTGCACGTTGGTGCGATAGGAGGGGGATGAGGGATGGGAACGGTCCTGAGGATCCGGTCAACGGATAGTCAGTAGAGAAGTACGAGCCGGAGGCATACGAGGGCGAGGATGAAAGGGAAAAATGATAGGAGGGCCATGTAGCCGATGTTACTTGTAACATGGCCCATCCCATCAGCATACAGGTGTTCTACCAGATGAGCTGCCAGTTCCTGGCATGCAGCAGTTCGCAATTCATAAACCTTCTTTTCTGGAATATCCACCAGTTGCTTGACTCACCCATCCTGTCAGCATATAGGTGTTCTACCAGACAAGCTGCAAGTTGATAATACATATTGTAAGTGTAAGTGTAAGATGAATACAGGCTCGCAAAGTACTCTTCAGGATCCAGCCTACACTTCTTGCCAGATGGTGTGACTTGCACCCGTGCGGATGTCACATCTTGTGAGGTGCATAGTGACTTGGTGTATAAACAATGTCCGCTTTGCTTGTTGGTCGGATGCATTTTTTGCAGTACGGCCATGTCTTTGTCAGGCCATCCGGATGAGCCAAGGTGCTTGTTGTAGATATTGATGACGGCCTTGTGTGAGTGCAGGACCTGCATACCTATCTCCTTCTGGTAAGCAGAAGACTCCAACAGGCAGCGTTGCACGACATCTATCATCTTTTGCTGTGCAGCCGTGCGCACAGACCCAGCTTCGTCCAAAACTTCCTGCAATGAGAGCCACAATCGCACAAGTGACTCCTGTGCCTCAGGGGAAACCGAGGAGTACCGATGCGAGAAGAACTGGGCTAGTTCAACAACGAGATTGTCAAGTGGTTTGCAGCCGATGAATATATCACACAGAAAGTAGGTTCTAGCGACAAGCCAATCTGATTTCGCGGATCCTCCAGTCCCCACCAGCAGATCAGCATCAAAGATCTGCAAAATGAATTGCGTCTGGTCAATGACACTCATGTAGCTCTCCCTGTACTTCAAGGCTGTCCACAGAATGATGTACAGACCGGATTTGAGGTCATCCTCGACAGCATGGACAGCAGAACTATTTTTAACGAGGTGAGCAGACATGAACTGCCAGGTTCCCTTGGTGACGGCAAAATCAATACAATATATGAGTTTAGAAAATGAACATACCGTGCGGGTGGTTTGTCGAGGACCCTGAATGGTAAGTAACTTTGCTAAGTCCCAATCAATGAGAAAGCCCCTCCCTCAGTAGATAACGATATTTCCAACACTGAGATCTCGATATAATATTTTTGCATTTTTATATGCATCCTGGTGGGCTGCGTGAATAATGAGTATGGACATTAGGTAATATGTGTGAAGTAAATATGTACCAAGTAATGCGTCGCAAACAGACTGGACGAGTTCATGAGAACTCTCAAAATCAGTCAATTACTCACCTACAAGATCGAGAACTTACGGTACTCGCCAAATGATTTTACGATGATTTGAGACCGCTGACGAGGAACTCAAAATGTGTCGCTCGTAACTTCATGTGGCTGTGTATTAAGGTTTTTTTGCTTATCTAAAGTTGAGCTCTGTGTTCGGGATTTTGCTAACACACACCTCTTGCGTCAATAAATTCTCACCATCTCAAATTGACGCATAGTCAGACTGGTTACGAGTCTAGATCATAGATTGATATAAGCTTGGGCTTCAAGGCTTGGGCGGTTCTACGATTTTCAAGTAAATAAACACAAACAGTGGGTAGGTAAAATGGTTTGAACTGTTCAAACATTCATAGACAATGAAAAATTCGGGTGTCTACTTATTGAATTTAAAGAGGCCTTACCGTATCCATAGTTTTGTGTACATAAACTGTGTCACAGTTGCTGCCACAAGGGAAGACCACTGATCAGTACGTACATGCCGCAACGTCGAGAAGAGTCATTTGACGGGAGAGATGGCATCTGAAATGGCAAGAACGTCGCACATGATGCGTGAAATTATCAGAAATTGTAGATGTTGATATGTCCATTTGAAAGCAATGCAAATGTACCTGCCACCATGGTAAGAGTTGCATTCATGGCATTTGGGTCCTCTGCACCCTGCGCAAGGATAGTATAGCGCTCGAATTTGGACTGGGTGGGTAACAAGATGTTGTGTTTCAATTTTGGAAAAACTGAAATATCAATTGCACTGACTTTGAGAATGGCTGCGAGATGTCCGTAAAGGTGTGCTGTGGATGATAGGCGATGATTTGGTTGTTGTGAGTGAAGCAAAGGTCGGCTCCAAACACAGTGAAAGTGCCAACTTTTGGAATGGATGTATGTGAACAACTTTACCTCCAGCTTCGCGCACATAAATAAAATCACCCACCAATGAGAACCTATGTGATTTCATGTGAGCATCAAATGGGCAAACTACTGCACATGAGCGCTATGCTCATTTGGACCGCTGGCATCTTGATCAGCGAGCATCATTACAATAAAATTTCTGATACATACCCAAGCAAAACCGCTATGCTGCTGAATCTGCACAAATATTATTGTCCCCCCCCGAAATAAAAAGTGTGCCCCCCCCGAAATTGAATTTGTGTGACACCCCGAAAAAGGAAATTGTGTTGCCCCGAAAACTATTGTGTGTTGCCCCGAAAACTGCAACATGTGTCACCCCAAAATTATATCATGTCGCCCCGAAATTAAAATTGTGATACCAATATTTGACAGAGTGTATTTTATCATCAGTCATGCTCATTTCCACCCAGGCTTACATGAAACAAGTCAATTAAAAGCATTGTAGTAAGAGATAGTTACTATGTACGAGTACCAGAATATAAACAGATATAATAAAGTCGGTGTAAAAGGATTATAATCAGTGCTGTCAATCGGTGATGGGTATATTTCAAGTTGAACAATATAGGTGCCAAAAAAAAAATCTAGAAATTGAAAAGATGATTCCCTTCCCATGGGTTGTCAATGCTGGTATCGAGAACAAAAGACCCAGAGGCCTGCAAGGTTGGGGGGTTATCAAGACTGGGATCAATAACAAAAGATACAGAGGCCTGCAGAGGAGATGACGAGACAGGCTCCAAAGGGGTGAGGTCAGCCTCCACAGTGCCTCTGGCTCGGCAACAACATCATGATTATCTAAACTAAAAGAACCAAAAAAGTCACCAGTGTATTTGTCATCACTTGCAGTCAAGTCAACTACAGTGGCCGACTCGGATATGGTTTCAGAGTCCGATGCAGGCATAATCTCATCATCAGTTTCTGTTCATACTGATCACAAAAGTTTAATATGAGCCTTGCTCGCAATCAACAAAAAAAAACAATATACCATACCTCGACAATATTTGGTCTTGCGAGGGGGCTCTGATAAGCTTGACTCAGATGAGGTGGAGCTGTCTTCTGAGTCACTGGATATACTCTCAGACTCGGTATGGCCATGGTATGCTGAGCTAGATGAAAGAGTGGCCTTCTTCTTACCTTTTGATTTTGCCCACCCTTGCAACACTGACAGTGGGATGCTTTGATGAGTGACTAAGAAGGCAGGAATTGGCATAGCCTGTTTGAAGCGAACAAACTGAGGACTGACCTAGAATCACCACATTTTCACGAAATCCACCTCTCGAATTCGTCCTTGCATTTTGTGCCACCAATGACCTATCAGGGAATTGGATACCAGGAGGAATTACGATCTTGCGCTTCTCTTTGACACAAAGATAGTATTGGGGCAGATACTGAAAGATCTCGTCTTGGTCCTCCTCGTAATCTGGATTCATCAACTTTGGCAAGGCATCAAGATAAAGGAAGAGCCGAGGGAAAAATTTGTGAAGCTCTAGGTCAAAGAGCTCAAAAGACCAGTTCTTGCTGATGATGATACCATCGACATAATCTGTGATTGCCAGTCTCATGACCTCAAGAGTCTGGACCTCCACCAAAGTTGGTGCTTGGGGATTGCGAAGAACAGGTGTCAGAAGTGGGATGTACGAATGTGAGGTCTTCTTAGACTAAAAAGCAGTCAGCAATCCCAGCCAATCACAGTTATGATACTGACAGCTCACCTGTTTTGTTCCACAGGGAATAAAGATTATTTCTCCAGCTTTAAAGTAGAAGTTAGGAAGGCGAGCTGGCTTTGACTAATAAACAAACATTCCAACAGTCACTTGCCTGAGCAACAACTCATTTTAAAACATGCTGACACTTACTTTAGAGACCATCTGAGCCTTTGGCCTGCTGTGAGATTGAGAAGCAGACTTTAAGCCTTGATTGGCCTCACCATTGGCCTTTTTATAGGCAGTTGATGATCCAGCTGAATTACCAAGCAATTCCTGCAAGATGGAATTAACTGCTAGTGTCGAGGTTGACTTTCTAGCATCATCCATTTGGCTGCTAGCCTGTCGTTTGCGCTTGGGAGCCATATGAAAAATTAAGAAGGTAGCAGAAAGATAAAGGAATGATTGGTGACAGAAGAGACAGTAGTAATTTTTAAGTTGGCTGTAGATTGTTGTAGTATGAAAGTGCTCAGTCGTAGTCGAATTCAACCACATTATTCATCACATGATCTGTGGCTGTACATGCTGTATAATTGCATGGACACTTCAAACTTAATATTGTCGACTTTAAGCCAGTCTGCTTGCTTGTATATTGAGAGTCTAGGTACTATAATCGTAGTTAGCTATCAGAGCCATTGTGATGCCCAACACTATCGGTATTACTATCTGTGTCACTACTAGATCCAACATCGGTATTGGCAAGCTCCAAAAGCCTGAACATGACATCAAGTGCTTGACACCATTTTATTGCCCTAGGTCGCCAAATAAAATCAGGCAAGGGGATTCGTAATTCCTTGGTCCCCTGTCATCCTGATCAGATTATTTCATGTGAGGGATACTCATCACCATCCTATTCATGTGGAAGAACACCAAATCCTTTTGGGATGTGTCCTGCCTCTCGTACTTGAGTAAAAGCTTGATGAAAGGTGTTGTGAAGAGTAGCAGATTTGAATGGACTGGCATGCTTTGGAACACGAACAGGCTTATGGTGGAAATGAGCATCATGATCAGCAGCAATGAGCTGGGGAAGCTCTTGTAGATCTTCTGTTTTGACACCTGGGTCCTCAAAATCACCAATGTCTTCCCACTCCTCCTCTGATTCTTCATCATCTGATTCTCCATCAGTAGAACCAGAAGCTGAGTATATGTACCTCATCTGAGGGGTGACCTGCTCCAGTCTGATGGGGTGCATGATATATAGGCTTGCCTGCAGTTCCATAGTACTGTCTGATGATGTCAGGATGGATTCCTTCACAATCATCGGCATATAGCCCATGTTCAAGCTGGCCCATAAGCCTCATATCCTAATGACCACAAAAGAAAAACTTCCCTATTAAGCTGATCATGTTTAAGATATTGGACGACATACATTTGGGCTCTGATCATGTCCCTCTCCTGAGATAGAGTGTGCATTCCATTCAGCTTGAAATGAGCGACAGTCAGACTCAATTTCCTCAAGGAAAAGCTCGTGTAATAGCCAAAGATGCTGAGCATTGGACACATCTAGGTCATGAAGCCTCTCAAGTTGATAGAAAAATGCATGCCACATGTGAGCAAATTGGGTGCCGACTTCAACCCAGGACTGTTCAATCCTGCTGTTGTGAGTTGATCTAATGAGGGGCAGATTTTAACTTAACCAATGTAAGCAATGAAATTGTGTTTACTTACGATCCCCACATAAAGCTCGCACGGTTGGGCCCTCTAGTCATGATCATATAAACCGAGACCTTTTTGTTTTCCCCACCTCTATCTCCTCGTATTCTTGAAGGTGTGCCATAGATAGTGACAGCATTCAAAAACACCCTAAGCACTGTGGATGCACTATTGCTTGTGCTGGGATGAATGGTGACTATCTGAAAGTCAATGAAGATCAGATGTAGGCAGCTAGTGGAGAATAATAGCCTACTGTGCAGCAATATCCATCAATGATACCATGAATTATGATGCCCCAACGAATTAGCTTATGGTACCCATCCATGTGCCACAGAGCATTTGGCCGTGAAACCTTGTACTGCCGCCATTGGATCATAGTGCATTGGTAGAGGGCAGTTCCCAAGGGATCGACATGGTGGATAGAGGAAATAACTCGTTGTTGCTGTATCCACAAGCCCAACTGTCGCAAATGGCCAGTAAGATAGTGAACCCCAGAATTTGGCTTCATCTGACGAAATTCTCAAACAGCTTGATCAAGGTCTGCATCTGAGATCAGGCTATACTTATAGCTAACATTGTTCTGCTTCAAGTAGGAGCATAAGGTATTACGATGGATGCCCATGACTTGTGCTAGCTTGGTTTGTTGTAGATGACGACCAGGAGAGGCAAATTCATGCAACAACTGGACATTTGGTACCTTACGAGGTCTCCCTGGTTTGCCAGTGTGTGCGACAGCGATTGGCTATGGGACTGAAATATTTGATGTTTCACTAGCAATAGTCTAGATATTAGAACTACTGTGGTGAATATGATAGGCTCACCCTCCTCGTGCTGTTGTTTCAGCCTGCTGTAGCTGCCTCAGTAGCATTCCAAATTTTGCTGTAACCTGAAGGACCCAAGACATAGGGACACCGACTACTGCAGAAGAGTTCTCCAGTGCTCGTAATAGTGGTATGGCATTGTTGCTGATGGCCTCAGCATGAAAACATATGCGATGCAGTTCACTGCAAGTCTGGAGTGCCTGAGATACATGACAATAGATATGGAATAGAGTATCATGGGCTTGATGCAGATGATCTGGCCAGACACCTGAGTCATCAGTAGGCTGTGGTAATGGTGGCAGATCCATTGTAGTTCGAGTTAGATTGACAGTGCTTTGACTGATATTTGTTATGTAAACACACAGGTGTTTATCATTGTTGATTCAATGTGCGAGCCACAGTGAGTGTCAGGTATGAACACGACTTGAACTTCATTTGAGCTCTATACAAGGCCATCATATACTACTATCCAAAGCTCTTTCACACTATGAATGTGAATCACAGGTTGGCTCTCCAAAGGCATAGTGAGTTTTGGTTTGAAGATGGAAATATTGTCTTTCGTGTAAGTCCTACTATGAATGTCTTCCGAGCCTGGCTTGAATTTTCTCTACTATAGGCTGGCAATACCTTATTTTGTGTACATCATGGTGTACTTGTTCGCCACTCTCCAGCTTTGGAAGGAATTTTGGCTATCCCATCAGGTTATGATACCGATGGTACAGAGCAACTTCCAATTGTCCTGCAGCAGATCTCTGAGCAGGAATTCACACATTTTCTCAACTGGGTGTACCACATGTATGTGTATCTACTAGTACAATATCACATAGGCGATAATTAAACTATATCTTCTAGCAGTTCAGTCCCTCCTCCACCTGAGGAGCAATTCCCAGTTGCTATCCTCAAGATTTCGCACCTATGGATGATAAGCAACAGCATCAAGTTTGCTATCGATGGACTGGAAAACCTCACTCTGCACTCTACCCAACGACTAGAGCTTGCTCGGTTATATTCCATACCCCAGTGGATCGCCCCAGCAATTCGAGAGATCATGACATCATCACTCACGAATACTACCGATAATGAGGCTACACAGATGGGGTTTAAAGTGTATACAATTATTGCCCGGGCAAAAGAGGTGATGGAGCATGAATGCAGGGCATTGGCCGCTTACCCACCCTCGCTTCTTGTTTCACCATCCTTCAGCTGCTCAGCTCACTCACATAGCCAGTGTAAGGAGGCATGGTTGGGATTCTGGTGGAAGAAAGTGGCTCGTGCAATTTTCCATCCAATAAACCCACTTCCACTGACACAGACTCTCCAACTCATCCTTGAGGCTCCATTGCCTAATGGCATAAATGCTGCATGCAGGCAAGCTATGGTTGATGCAATGATAGAGTTAGATGGACTTGAGGTTGAGGAGAGGATTATTGAGGGGGTTATACAGGCAGTCACTTTGTATTTCAGCTCTCTCTAATATATCTGCTATGGGTGTGATGATAGGCTAAGTGTGAGATGTTATGTCAATAAAAAAGTCAGCAGAAAATGCCCCTCCCAAAAAAAATGGAAACAAACAAGAAATATGGCAACATGAGGGAGTTTAACTGGCAGAGCTGAATGTTATCACCACAACATAATGAAATTTCAACACTGGCAGGAGTTGAACCCCAGTGAAAACTGACTATGACGGGAGGAGTCGTGGCATGATGATAAGTGATTTTGTCAGCAGCTCGATAGAAAAACATATGAGAACATGATAAGACACATAGTGAGCGAATCCGCACATTTCAATATCTGCGGGGGCGGGTTTCCTCATGCACATAGGTGCTCTTTTCAATGTAAAACATATTTGCGCATTTGAACACATATACTCGCTCCCCTTGCTAAATGGTCTAAAATGTGCGCAAATATGCTTGAATAATATCTCACTTTCCTTGCCAGATGGTTGAAAATGTGCGCAAATATGCTCAAATGATATTAGGCACTGTAGCAATGGGGGTACAAAAGGTGGTACAAAAAAGCTCAAAAACACAAATAGCGGCTTGAAAACATGACGTGTGCGGACAGCAGCTCGAAAACACTCGAAAGCATTGTAGGAAATGTGTATGTTGGATGGTGTAGGATTGGATGGTGCTGAATCTAATAAAGTCGTCCTTCGGAGACAGCTTTGGTCCATGTATCGGTAGCGACCTAGTAGATGATGATTTAGAAGGTCCATCGAGAGAATCAAGGACTTACAAGTGCAGCTGCTTCCTTGTCATATCCCTATCAGTCAGTGTGAATGAATTAATACAACAAGAGATTATATGACTTGCCTTTCATTGCTCCGGTGTCAGATTCCCATAATAAGTACAAAATTCCTCCGTTGTCCCACCAGTTTTGAGTGGCTTGAGCCACCGAAGAGTGCATAAATTTCTGCAACGCATTAGTAAAGCAAAGTCTGAGAGAAAAAACACGTACCATCCATTCTTAGTAGGGCTCGGGCGCATTTTCAAGCTCTTGCTTCCTGCCTTGGCAGCTTTGCCTTTTGGGAGGTTGGAATTGGCTTCGTCGGATGGAACAGATACTTTTTCGAGTGGAACAGGTGCTTGCATAGTAGGTACACAGTCAGAAGGCAGCGGAGGAATTTTCACGCCAGCGGCAGCCAGTGCGAGCAATGAGCTAAAGACAGTAAGTAATGCCAACAAATCAAAGCAACATGCAACCAACATGGGATTGGATATGGTGATTTTGATTGGTGCAGGTGTAGCGGCAGGTGGCTGTGGTGGTGGTATATTCTCCTTTTCCTCAAGTGAATCGCCAGCAGGATGAGATGACTCAATGATAGGGCTTGGAAGAGTAGTAGGAGATTCGGACTCTTTGATGGGATGGGAAGGCTCTGCAATAACAATAGTAGGAGTGCCACTCGCACTCTCTGGAGACTCCTCGATGGGATGAGAATGTTCTGCAGTATTGATAGCGGGAATACTTGCACTCTCCAGAGACTCTTCGACAGGATGAGGAGGCTCTGTAGTAACAATGGTGGGACCATTTGCTCTCTCCAGGTCCGAAAGATGCGAAGATGATGTTAGTACCGGGGAAGGAAGTAGTGCTGGTGGTATCGAAGGAGTTGGAGGCAAAGAAGGGGGGATCGATGCATCCGGAGTGACTACAGTATTGTTAGTAGGGTAATGCAACTCGAGTGAGAACCTACATTTGAGTTTCTTTTCTGGGACCTCCGACTTTGAGTGCTTCACTTTCTTGCGCTTCTTACCTTTTGCGTTCGAAGAGTCTGCATCATTGCTGTCGTCATTGCCATCCTTCCTTGACTTCCAGTTGCTGTTGTCATCAAGGTGGTTCCTCTGCCATGCAGAGTAAGATGACTTGCACAGATAATCTAGTTTCCATCTGTTGTTAGCGAGAGTAAATAGTGGGTATTATTTTTCCATGAGCGAATGAATGAATTGGTTTCCCGTCGAGGACAACTTGCCCCACGACTTTGGAGAAAGCTGGCAATTTACGAGTTCTGACCATCCTCCATGCAGGGTCTCACGAATAGCTTTGACTGTTGCTTCAGGCACCAGTTCTCTGTTTTTGCCTTCAAGATAAGGAATTTTCCCACGATGAAGCCCTTGCGCGCTAGCTCGTTCTGCCCAATCCAAGAATGCATCCTGGTTCCAAAATTTGACCTTGGGATGTGTCTCACGAGTGGGCCGTTTGGTGTTACTGGTGCAGGGTGCTGCCAGTGATAGGTGCATGCCTTTGGAGCCGAGAGGATCCACAGCTTCATCAAGGTGCACAGAAGAGGCAAGCTGGTGAAACATTGCCCTATCATTACATTAGAGAATGCACATGAAGTACATACAAATCTTACTGTATAGTATCACGTTCAATGGTGAGTTTGGTGACCTGTGCTTCCAAGATTCCACAACGCTCTCGCAAGGCTTTGTTTTCGTGCATATATGCACCCTAAAACATACAGTAAGTTAATAGAAACAGTAGCAAGTGACTCACCTGCTGAAACAAGCTGAATTGAGGCTGTGGGACTTGTACTGGGGGTGGTGAGAACGAATCTGCCTCAGGTGATGTCTCACTTGCAAAGAAGCACATACCCATCTCCTAAATCAACAGAACCTTTTGGAAGGCCTTTGTGTGAATTGTCGAGCTTGGGCATTATGGAGAGAAGGGTATTGATGCGGCAGCGTCAAACTCCTTCTTGTGAGAGGTTCGCAAAAGGATTCGAGGGCTGACGAATTTCTTGACCCAAATTTCCAATTGTTCGTTCCATAGTCCACTGTGCATAGCATATTGATGGACCTTTCCACACTGTTTCTGAGATGAGGTGGTTGGTTTGATGGACACATGGACGAATGAAGTGGATGCGATCTTCTTGGCGACAATAATACAAGAGTTCAAAATCCTGCTCCCAGCAGCATAAAAGTGCTTGAGCATGGACAAGTTCCTGGGCTGTGATGCGATATTTGCACATCAGCTGGAATCCACGGACAAGTTGACAGTAGTTAGACCAGTATCTCCAGGGTAGAATGTCGTAGAGTAGTGCAGGTGCGAGGCCAAACATGTACAGTTGAAATTCCCATGTTTTATAGCCTGTGTTAAGCTTCTCAGAGATATTACGAGGCTTGCGATCAAATGAAGTGGGAAGGTAGGGTCCGGTGTTCTCAACTGCCGCTCCATGTATAGTCCAGGCACCCTCGTCTCTAAAGACAGCCCAGTCCCAAGTTTCGACATTGTCTGATGGTCCGCAGTCTAAAGTTCCACGCCAGAGACTCAGTAAGAGATCACTAAGATTTGCTTCTAGGTGCATGATGTCCGTCGTCATGCAGAATGGGACTCCAAGACTGCGTGAAGGGCTTAGGCCAAGGATTAGAGGGGGCTTTGTGATACCTGTCTCCGTTTTCCTGAGGTCGAACTGACGTTGGTTTGGAGAAGTAATGAGGTGTTTTAAGTTAGTTTCATAGTCATCAGATCCTCCGAGTGGAATTTTGAACACATCGATATCTGGATGGTTGCTCCCGACAACTGAATGATCAGTTGGCTTCAAGAGTGCTGGGTAGTAATGAGTCCCATGAGTTTTTCTTTGGCCCTGTACTCCACAATAGATCCGACACCCGTTCTTCCCACTGTGCCCCACCATTCCATCCCAATACACAAGTCCAGGCCCATCAGCCGTCGTGAATATGAGGTGAATGTTCGATATAAATGTTGCATCACGGGACGCATCCCACACAGTAAGGCCTTCATTTTGGATGGCTGCAAGGTGGTGCATTCCTACGAAGAGGAAAGAATCAACATTTTTTAACTTGTTCAGTCCAGGTATAAAGCCACCTGGATGGACATGTACTTTGCGGTATCGTTTGTTGGGAGAGAGGTTTAAAACAACCCACATATAAATCCAGCAGTCTGACTCCTTAGACTCGTAGAGTTGCGCACCGTCCAATGAGATCATGAGAGCAATGTCTCCTTCCTTGATATCCCCGTCGATCACTGCAGTAAGATAGTCCCATCCCATCACAATGTCATCGATGACAGGAATAGTACCTGTTGCCCAAAGCTCTGTCAGCACTTCCTGTGTGCGCTTGTGAAGATAACGCATGTCGCGTGCACTGTCTGGATTACGGTAAAGAGCCTGCAACTGGGGCTAATGGTATGGTCAAAAAATTTTGTGCAGCGACCTTTGTTCAGGCCATTACTGGCTGCAAGCTTGGCTTGATCCCATCGAGAAGTACCACATACAGTGCAGTGTTTGAGTGTAGCATAAGGTCCAGTATATGCCATGCACGACTGGGAGCACATATCGTGTATTATAGGTTCGACACCTGTGTGAGCAGCAACGAGCTTTTCAACAGCGTGGAAGCTCAAGATGTCGTCAACACCATTGATGTCAGAAAAGTTCTGCATCAATGACCTGCGAATATGGTTATGCGCATCTTGTGAGGCATGTTCAAGTGCGAGGTATGTTGATATACTGTGTCGGATGGCAGGACTATTGATGTTGATGGGGCCACGAGGTGGATTATGGAGACATTGGAGTGCTTCATCACTCATTTTAGCACTTTGGTCCTCGAAGGATGCTTGCTTGAGGGCAAGGACAAATTCCATTGTCTCCTTAATCTTCGGCAGCACTGCGCTACGTGCAAGGGCCTCCACATCAATGTGTGGCCATTCTCTTCGCTCAAATTCTAACTCATACTGTGGCAGCTGTGCATTCACTTGTGGAGGGTGGTGCTCATGCAAGTCTGGTTCCGGAGGGAGATGATGGAGGATGTCTGGCTCATCCAGCACTGGGGGAGGTCTATGCTCAGGAGCATCTGGTTCTGGAGGGTGGTGCTGGTGCATATCCGGTTCTGGAAGTGTATTCAGTTCATCCGGCACTGGGGGAGGTCTATGCTCAGGTGCATCTGGCTCCGGAGGGTGGTTTTGATCATCATAGTACTATAATATGACTATTGAAAATTTTAGATCATAACAAGGCAAAGAAACATACCAGATTGCCATCCGTCCCAAAATCGTTGTCTGTGTTATTATTTTCGTTAACGTTGGAAGTAGATGGCTCAGAGTTCCGAGCACGTTTGCGACGTCCGACAGCATGATTGTTACTCTCATCAACTCGTGTGCGCTTAGCAAGTTCCCGCAATGCAGCAGCACGACGAGCACTACTGGTAGACAGAACACCAGGAGGATTAGGAACACGGTGTGCTGCGGGCTCGGAGTCTGGTGGAAGATTTTGGTCAGGTAGAAGAAGTGACATGTGTTCTGGTAGCACTCTGCGCAGATGAATACTCTCTCTCTCATCTTCTGGGGCCTCTTGTAGATGTCGGCGCCAAGTTGCTGTTGACACACTATGTGGCCTCCCGAAGTTGTATCTCAAGCACACACAGAGACTGACATTTTCAGCGGACTCGTTTGTAGGCATGTTTTCTATAGATTGAAATATAGCTATGAGTGCAAAGACTCCGATGTAACGAACCTACATAGCTACATGCTTGGCAAAGTGCGACGGAGAAGCAAAGCAAAGCAAAGACTAAGGAAATATACGAAGTTAGCGCTTCACAACACAACATTACAAGCACGATGTATGCAATGATACGGATTATGATAAACAAGCATATATCAACATGTAACTAAAAAGGAAAATCATTTCTAAGCATGTGACGACTCCTCCCATCATAGTCAGTTTTCACTGGGGTTGAACTCCAGAGCAGCTTCCTGGCCAACACTGATCAAGTTACCACTACCAACCAACAACAGAATTAAATCATAACATTGGCAAGAATTGAACAGCAGAGCAACTTCCTAGCCAAAATCCCACACAGTATCACAACAGGGACCAGGTTACCACTACACTATCCAGCTGATAATAAAGAAGGTGGTAACAGGTATATGCTATCCCAAAAGCACCAAAACTCCGAAAATGCCATAATCAAAATTTTCACCACTGCTGCCCACTGCACTTTCCAACCACCACCATGGCCCCACAACCCACAGATCAGACTCATCTGAAGCAATGTAAGTAATATGTTACCACCACTGTCTAGACTGATATATTGGTGGTGCATAGACTTCCAGCATCTTGCTGGAAATTCAACTGTTATGCATGCACTTCAGATAGGAGCAGATATTGAGAAGGATCTTCTTGCTTTTGGAGATAAACCAGGCCTTGCAAATTCTATGAGCATGTCTCTAATGCAGTATCTATGTTAGATCTAACTATTTATGTGTGCAGATCAGCCATCTGAAGTCCCTAACCACCAAGAATGCTGGATTGGTGCCAGGATCTCTCCACCAAGCTTTAGAGGTATATTTCCTCCAGTGCTGCAGGAGGAAGAATGCAGCTTTCTCTGAGAAAAGGATCATTGTGAGTCTTCTTTCTGCTTATTACTGGCTTAGTCTAAAACTGTACTTCATAGGCAAGGGTTCTGGGCCTTCATGCCACCCCACTACCGGCCAAGTCTCTTGCAGACACTGGTACAGTCAGGATGGTCACTCATAACCGTTCTGCTAAAACCAGCTATAAACGGGGTACACTTTTAGTGGACCATGGCAATGAGGATCTGGTTGGTAGTGGGGATACTACCCTTTCTGTTCCTGTGGATGATTCGTGGTATGTGATTGAACCAGATGAAAGCATCATTTTTGTTAATTCCAAGGGTATGAATAGTCTTTCTGTCTCCTGCATGTGGTTAATTGGGTGTATAGGATCTGTTACACTCGCTGTACTCCACAGCAAGTGTGGCCAGTGTCCTGACCTGTTGACTTATGTCAATAGTATCATCAATGAGGCTGTCAATGACCGCAAGGGGGTCAGGGTGAGTTTTTCCTCCTTTCAGTTTGATATATTTCTGATAGGCTGGATAGCCTACCCATGGGGGGGAGCTGGTTCTGTTCGGCTGGAATGCTGGTCCTCATCATGCACATGTCTTCGGTCTGGTGAACAACCTTACCAATAAAAAGAAGCTGTCCATGACTACGAGGCAGCAGAAGGACTCCCATGCTTTAGGAATTCTGGCTTTGAGCTGGAACTTGCTCATAGCTAGTCTCCCTGCTGAGGTCAGTGCATCATGTATCGAGGCAATCGATGAGGCAGGCCTGCCTGCCATGACAGTCAAAGGCAATGATTTAGGTGAGTGTCTTACATATGTATAATCTTCATTACTGGTAACTTACATATAATGCCTAGATTTTGGGTATACCCTAGACTTACCTGGTGGTCCTCTCTGCTTTTCGACAGCTGAACAGGCTCCCTCTGAGGCATATATGTCACAGAATTATGAGTCATAAGTGGATTGCATCTAATTAGTAATGCCACTTTTCGATGTCGCATCTAGCCCCATTCACATAGACCAACTCTATGCCCCTTATGTGATGAACTGGGTTACTCTTCATGCTATCATGGATCCAGAGCAATGTCAGCTTCATGGTGGTCATAGTTCTGGTGGAAATTATGTGGATGTCTCCTTCAAGGTAGTGGTGAAATGTGCCACTGACACAGTCATGGTATTTTTGTCTCTCGTTGCAGCTCCACACTTTAATTTTGCTGACAACTGGTGCCACAGAGTATGCAACCCTGTTTCCAGCATGGCATGACCCTTGCTCGAGATGGTGTCTGCAGACAAGGAACTGCCATCAATTTTTTGAGGCACATCAAGCAAGCCTTTGATGAGGCAATTGCAATTGAAGGTGATGTCAAGGCAATGGTTACCTGACTTGTAGAGGAAGAAGAGTGAAATTATGGATTGTATTCAGGTAGTCATCCAGTAGTATACATACTAGTCTACAATTGTCACTCAAGTTTGCCTTCAATAAAGTACTATTCTGAATTTTTCATACTTTTTTTTTGGCATGAGTCTTTTGTTTTTTGGGCGACATGATATAATTTTTGGGCGACGACACATGTTGCAGTTTTCGGGGCGACACACAATAGTTTTCGGGGCGACACAATTTCCTTTTTCGGGGTGTCACACAAATTCAATTTCAGGGGGGGCACACTTTTTATTTCGGGGGGGCACAATAATATTTGTGCAGATTCAGCAGCATAAAACCGTACAGGACGCTCTGCGGAGATTATTATTTTCCGCGGTGGAACAAGAGAATTACTGTTACTTATGATTATCAAATGCTCCCAGAGGAATAAATCTGGATATCGTTTGAACCCCGAAAGCTGGAGCGTCGTAGTACACGGAACTTGATGTGGGCTACCATCAAGTGGCGCACATGCTAATGTAGTGATGAGTCGACTCAAGTCATGATGCATCAGACTTTTGTGCGTGCAGTAGGGGCGCCGAATTCCATATTCGCGAGGTGAGATGCAACCAATTACACCTGGAAATAATTTTTAGCCGAAACTATAAACGATCAAGTCAATTGGATATACGTGCTCGAGTGCGATGGCAGTTTGTGATGCTTCCCTCACGAATTAGTATTTAAAGGGTGTAACTCCCGATCTCACTTTATAACAACGCATTCTAAACACCACACCTCAGCGAAGAATATCATTAACATGACCGTACTTAACATCAACAAACTCAGTTTCTATGTTATGCTCCTGTCAGTTGCCTTCGCACAGGTCCTAGTGGTCAGTGCTGCAGAGAACAGCCTGGATTCTGACGATGTGGATAGTGTTAGTGAGTGGGTCCCAACGATTATGTGGAGCAGGACTGACAAGTTTCTAGGCCCGCTCCATCCTTTTTGAAACCTGAATACAGCTGGAGGGTTGAAAGTTGATGTAAAGAAAGACAGATCGAGTGTATGAGCACATTAATATTAATATTGTAGGTGGCATTGGGAGTAGAAGATGTGTTCGCGCACACGTGATTGTTTGTTTATACTGAATGCTTCTCGAAGACAACTGTCTTGAAGTTCCTTCTATCGAGATAGCATGGCGAGTACATTTTCTGGCTCGGAGTGCGGAGGTGGTCCAACTATAGGTGTACAGCACTGATTAGACTCCGAGCCGGAGGTGTCTCGGACTATTATGCGCAAATCATACGTGACGTGCTGGTTGAATTATTCAAGAAGACGGAAGAACAATTTTGACTGTGATATCGGGTCCGAACAGTTATGCGATTAGTAAGGGCAAGATCCGGGAGGAGCTTTAGCTTGACCGAGTACCAATAAAGCTATGACAGACGTAAGGGAGACAATTGAGACGTACAAGAAAGAGGGAACGACAGACAGCCCTGGATATAACCGAATGATGGGGGTCTTCTATGAAAAGCAAGTTTGCAAGACCCGCTGACCAAAGGTGATGGAGACGTCCTTTGTGGTCGTGATGCAACATCTCACCGTGTATCATGCGATGTAGATGACGTCTCGAGGTACCTTTCTTATATGTACTGGTCACCGTTACCAGGTTTGGACCATTAGAGTTCGACTTTACGGGCACGCTGAAGTCATGGTCGTATCTGGATCAGATACACATAATTGCAACTCCTCTCACCAACGGTGTCATGGACGAAGCGCAGGACGTCTGCGTCAGTCATTTCTTCCAGAGAATCCTGCATGTGAGGTAAGCGCAGTTATCCCAGCGTCACATGCCATTCCCGGAGGAGGACCAGGCGAGATACTTTCAAGTAATGGCTGACTTTCTTGCGTATTCTTGAATGGTTGATCCTATAAAATATAAAAAGATCGAATACACAGGAATGGAATGACCAGATTACCATAACGATTTCCTCCTTCTACGGTACAACGAAGGATAAGTTCAAGGGATCACCCGCTTCCATGGGCTATGTCAAAATACTGCGCATCCTCGAATGTAGGTTGCCGTGTCTTGGACCAAAGTGTCCCCAGTGCGGGTCCACGTGTAGCAATCATGATGCTGGTAGTATTTGCCGACCAGCCGATAGGACCTAATAAGTTGAGTTGTGACCAATAACTCGATTGCAACGGCCGCGAGCAGTGCCTGCCAATTACATACCTATGGTGGCCCCTTGAGTCTCTTGACCAAAGACGGAAGCAGAGATTGTTTGAACGACTCAAGTCCATTGAGATAATTATGAAAAAGAGCCATGAATATATGAACGACATACCTTGCAGAAATGGTGTGTTTTCCCGCTGATGCAAGTCGATCGCGTCCGCGACAGACATGCTTCCTGAGAATCCCAAACCCTCAAGTCCAACTTAGTCCTCCTTGAGAAATCGCTAATACCGTTCGACACGTAGCGCATTCTTGATTATCAAAGTTGTCCAGGAACCTGCTGATAAGTTTGATTAGCACTGCGGCCAGTAGCCAGGGTTACCTAGCCAAGTTGATCCAAGATCATTCCGAAATCATTTCATTCTGATACATTTTACGAGCACGATCTTAAGGCTCGGAGGAATGATTGTATTGCGCAGGTCCTACGATGGCCGCGTGAGCTAATGCGTCCAGGGCTGCCCATAGCAGCAGAACCATAGATAGCAGAAAGAATTTATGAGCGTCAAACTACCTTTAGGATGCACCATGAGGTCGGTGATCTCCATCATCCTTGACATGAAAGATACAACATTCAAGTGCAATATTGCAGTCTCTGGAAATGTAGAATGTACAGCTGTCGGATGTCGAGTACTAGAACATGAACTCGTGGAATCGATGGTCGTGAATATAGCTTGGGCGCTTGTAAAGAAATTTGAAACACTTATGCCGGACCCCGGTACCCATTCTTTTACCTAAATTGTACAAATTGCGGACTCATTGACAGGCTAATCGGATCAGTTGGTCGCGCCCGCTGCTCTTCAAATTACCATCTTGGTCAATTCAAGTCGAAGCCGTTCTCTCTGTCATGTTCTTTTCCCCAAGCTCCAGGTCGCACCGACCATCGAGTCTGACACCACAAAAAGTCGTTGACCCGACCACAAAGCAAAGCTGAGGCTGCGCAAGACTTCGCAAACTCAGGCTGTGCTCCATTGGCTTCTTGTCGTCATAGTCTTCTGCACGTTCATCACCCTTCGGTATCTTGGAATAAACTTATCACTCGAAAGAATATTCACCTTCTCCGTTGTCCTTCTCAATATATGCGGTTCGACAAGATCGCACAGACATCGCCTCCTAATATTTCGAGAGAGTTCACATATCTGTTAGTTTGGTGAATCATTCTGCGCCAACTTGAAGTCATGTTTCAATGACTGTCTTGCGATGCGCATGACACACACTGGCACGATCTCACCTAATGACCGCAAAGCACACGTCACACAGACGGTCAGTTTATCTTCCTTTTTTTCTGGACTGATGGTAGGAATATTTCAATTCAAAGCGATCGACCGGGGGATGGAAAATTGCAAATTACATGTCGCAATTCCGCTTGTGGACCGACCGACTACACTTGCTTTATACCACCTTAGTGTCACTGTACCAGTTGATATTGTTTCAACGTTATCGTTCAAGGTTCGATCGCCACGGGTCGTGCGCGTGAAACTTGATAGCATAGTGCTAAGGACAAGACAGCTTTGACTGACACAGAAAACTTTCTTGTGCGATGGACGACGCCCTTGTTTTCGAGTTGGGTATGATGTTCATTGTTCAGAGGACGAACCGAGTGGTAGCTGCGATATAGAATGGTGACAGGCTCAACGAAACTGCACCGGGTCAGTGATTTACCACTCTGTATGAAATTCGCTGATAGCATGATTGAACCTCTAGTTGTGTACATGATCCAGTGCTCCACTGTGTAACTTAAACTTTCCTCACATTTCGGCCATCGAGACGAAACATTTGGGTTATTGAACAGGTTTAGGCATCTAGTTTGCAATTCAATTTTCCATTAGCCATTTTTCCATGTCAGCAGCTGATTTTTCTCCGGCTTCGTGCACATAAATAAATAATCCACCAGCGATCATCGATCAGGTGCGAATGAATTTGAAGATCTAAATGATTCTATGTGAGCATCAAATGGTGAGGCCATTTTCCAAACTACTGCACATGGACGCTATGCCCTCAAGCTATTCACACCGCCCTCTTGAGTGGCGAGCATCATTACATCAAAACTCCTGATACCCGAGCAACACATTGCAGAATGCTTCGCGGAGATTATTACTTTCCGCAGTGAAAGCAGAGATAAATGCTGTTGCTTATGCCGAATGAGTCATCAGCAAAACTCTATAGGTCCCCGGAGATTTTAAGCTCAAAAGCTGGAGCACCATATGATAATTACACGCAACTTGCTGTTGGCTACCATCAGTAATAGCACCACTGCATATGTCGATGTACTGGTCTAGTCGTAGTAAGTCGACTCCACTCATCTGCTGTGCATGCAGTCGCCATGGCCCATCAGCGCATTCACGAGATGAAATATAACCAATTAAAACACATCCAAGAATGATTTTGACCAAGTCAAGTGGATAATGCTCGAGTGCGCAGATGGCTGTTTGTTACGCTTATATGCACCCATGAACTGGTATTTAAACGGTGTAACTCTCAATCTTTCTTTCAACACAACGCATCCTAAACACTATACCTTAGCAAAGAACATAATTGACATGATCATGCTTAATATCAGCAAACTCGGTTTCTATCTTCTACTCCTGTCAGTTGCCTTCGCACAGATCCTAGTGGTCAGTGCTGCAGAGGACAACTACCTGGCTTCTGATGATGTGGATGAATTATGTGGGTGGGTCCCGGCGATTATGTGGAGCACGACTGACGGGCTTCTAGCGGACGGGCTTCGAGAGAGAATGATCGGTATGCCTTATTAAAACCTAAATACAGCTGGAGGGTTAGAAGTTGGCGCAAAGAAGGACAAATCGGTACATGGGCACATTGCAGTAGCAGAAGACAGCTTCGAAAGACAGCTAGAAAATGTACACCGCCCGAGATAAAAATTAAATGAGCTCCCATAGGATTTCCATTACAGACTAGACTTCGAATTTCGCGAGCCACCGTAGAGATTTGGGGACAAACCAGGGCAACAATACTTGTATCATAGATAAAATCTTTAAGTGCAGAAGGGATTCTCCGGTCGGTATAGTGAAGGTGCCATAAGTCTGCAAGGATGATCACCACAGTGTTTTCTTGTTTCAAAGTTCAACAACTCACGCTCTATGCCACGCTACGTGGGGCAATTGGTGAGTTGGAATGAATTGGTGTATGTTCAATATCAGGTAATGTGCAAACTACGTTTTAGGTAGGATGCGTTGTGTACGAAAGAGTCATAGACATGGGCGACCTCAGCGTCCCCAACTTTGAATGTCCCTATTTCAAGGGTTAAACGTTAAACACAACCACTTGAAAGTATCTCGTCTGGTCCTCCAAGAATGGCGTATAGCGCTGGAAGAAATGCGCCCACTTGACATGCTGGATTCTGTGGAAGAAATGATTGACGTGGATGTTACGCCCTTCATCGTGACGGAGTTGGTGAGAAGATTAGGAGTTGTAATTGCCTGGATCTGATCCAGAGTCTAGACACGGCCGTAACTTCAGCGTTCCTGTAACGGTGAACTCTAACGGTCCAATCCTGGTAACCATGATTAGTACATATCAAAAAGGTACGTCGAGGCATCACCTACATCATATGAAACACAGCTGCAAAAGACGTCTCCATCACCTTTGGCCAGGGGTCGTGCAAACGTCCTTTTCATAGAAGATCCCCATCATTCAGGGCTATCTGTTGCTCCCTCTTTCTCGTGCTCCTCGATTGTCTCCCTCATATCCGCCGGCAGCGCCTTCAGCAGCTGACCGGTACTTTTTTCCCGCAGTGTCATGGACACCGGCAAGGACAAGGTGTGTTTGAGACTCACAGGATGTTTGTGGCTTGCATAGTGCGCCCTAAGATCGCCCCCCAGGAGTGACGCAGAAGAGTTCATTCCGCACGCCAAGGCATGGTTGTCCAGCTCATGCACCCGAAGCGAGATCCTCGACAGTGTTATACCAATTCTGGTATGTGTCGTCTCTACTTTCCTTGTAACTTCAGCCGTACTGTGACATATGGGGCGCGTCGGGAGAGCGAAGTGACAACCGACTGATGTATTTGGAAATAACAATCTTAGGACCCTTAAAGTTGGAATGTTCCGAACACTTCGCAGCTGTGTCATAGCGGCTAAGATGATGAAATGGCGGTGTTTCGATGGTTGCAAACTTGTATTTCCCACCTTAAGCTTGTCACTGGAGCCGGTTCTACTTCGGATCCAGGGCACTAATCGTTCTCTTGCAATTGAGCATCGATCCTGTGTTATGAGGTAAGTTCCTCGCGAAATTTCAATGACGAGGCCTGATTTCCAAATTTTAGTCTATTATTGTATCCATCCAGATGCGAGTCCAGCTGAACTCCAGGAGGAACAGTCTGTCATATCTGTGTTCGAAAAAAGACGACAGTTCTATAATTGGTTCAATTACATAATTGCGATTTTGCAATTGGCATCTGTCTGATCTCGTCCACATGGTATCAAGTTCACCGCATGCACCTAAGCAGCCCAGCGACGATACCTTTTGGTATTATTTAACAAGGTGCTAACGTCATGATGGTGACTCGCCTTAACCCACCCCAAGCCATTGCTTCTCCAGAAGAATCCATCAAGTTATTCTGTTCATCTGTTCATCATCTGATCTATCATGTCACTTAACTCTAGTTGGACACCAGACGAATCGTCTGAAACGCTTCTCGCAGAGAAAGGCTGGTTGCAGGGCACAGTGGTCAGCGCCGTTGCATATGGCATTGTCGTCGCACTGTTCTTCATGTGCTTCCATCTCCTTTTCCGGCAGATGAACCGCACGAACTACAAGAAACTCCTGCCTTTCCTCATATACATCACCACAACTTTTATCCTCAGCACCCTATTTATGGCAGCGCTGGCCGACTTCACGCAACTCGCATTCATTCAATATCGTAATTATCCAGGTGGTCCGAGCGCATTCGAGAATCTCAGCATTCCTATGGACAATATTACGGACGTCTGTGGTGTTCTGACGATGATTCTTTCAGATGCATTGGTCGTGAGTGGAGGTATTCGTTGTTGAAAATGTTATCGCTGATATATCTGTTCAGGTTTGGCGCTGCATGGTAATTTACAGAGGGTGTATGGTGCCAATGTGGATCATCATGTTGTTCCCTTGTCTGATGTATGCTGCATCCATCGGTCAGTTGCTTCTTTTCAATATCTATTTGATTGTATCGGACGCCGCTCACTATTGCATCTGTTAGCTATGGCTATAATGTGGCTGCTTCAAGTAACCACCAGTGCCTCATATTTCTCCTCGACTGACATCGACTACACCATTCCATATCTCACCCTCTCACTCGCACTGAACATCATCATCACGATCGTTATCGTACTTCGTCTACTCACATATCGCCGTCGCATTTCCAAAGTTCTTGGCTCTAGCTACGGCACTCAATACACGTCGATTGCTGCGATGATAGTTGAATCCGCCGCTCTTTACTCCACGTTTTCGGTGGCATTTCTGACGCTCTTTGGTCTAAACAATGCCATCTCGGAGACCTTTTTGGTGTCGTTGACTCAGGTTCAGGTTAGCACTGTTACACAGAGAGGCATTCACGATGCTTATGACATGCCACAGATAATTGCAATGTTGCTCATAGTTTTCCGGGTCGCGCAAGGAAAGGGTTGGTCCGAGGATACCATGTCCAGGGTCATGACCTCGAGGCCCTCGGCGCAAACAACCCGTATGGGTGATTTCGGGTACCATTTGCAGGACGGCTCCAAAACGTTCACCGGTTCCACTGGCACGGGGGCACATGCGACCTACAAGAGTAAGGAACGCGATTCAGCGGAATTGTCTGTGTGAGCAAAGGTCGCTTAGTAGATACCTCCTGAGATATTAGTTGTGTCCCGGGTCGAAGTAAATACATCTTGACACAAAATTAGTATTTAGTATACTTGACGGTAGTATGGACCTTAGGCAGGATTTGATTCGATTGTTTGTACTCTACGCCGATTACTTCGAAAATAACACATTCAGCCAAACCCTTGCACTGGTAGTCGTTCGAACGTTCAACAGTGAAATAGATCAATATTGATCGCATACTATAGAACATGGCGTATCAGTGTCTGACTAACACTGGTAAGGGTAAGGGCCGGCTTCATTATGGAGCTGATGCGCTCAAACTCATCATTCCGCAGATACGTAATTGGCAATTGATGGACTGCCTTTCAGCCTCGCCACCAGCTGCTAACCTTTGCCTCCTGCATAACGAAGTTAACTTTATGACAGCTATATCATCTCCGAGCCATGCAGTGAGTATCTCGTCATGGCATCGATTATATAGTACGGTGATTTTGATTGATTGGTCCGGGAATCAGTATCAACCTACTAGTAAGTAGGAAGTTCATCAGAACACCTCATGGCGCATCCTAAAAGCAGCTTATAGCTTTTCCTGTTATGTACGGCTCTACTGTTATGGCCCGCTGGGAAAACCCTGGGCGCATCAGCTCACGCGGCCACCATGAGTCCTGAATCACGGCAGCGCGACGAAGAATTCAAGAGGATCGCGACGGATCATGATATCATTCCGCAGTTGAAAGATATGGCTTTTATTAGTTATACATATGTTGGACATTAGCGTGCTATTACAGACATCAAGGAAGCGTGAAAAGCAGTGACGAAAGTCGGTCCTTGGCACTGTTGCAGACAGTGAGCGCTTGAGCAAGTGAGTGACGGATACAAAAACATTCGTACTCCACTTGGAGGTGCCTATCCCAGACCGGCCATTTCCGAGTCAGAGACGCCCTCGCTTGAACTCTTGATTTACATTAAAACTTGTGATAGTCCTAAGCAAAACAGTACAGAACGCTTTGCGGAGGTTATTATTTTCCGCAGTGTCCGAAAGCAAAGGAATATATCCGCATAGACCGAACCCCAAAAGCTGGATCTACGGAGGTCTGTAATTAGATCAACGAGTATATGTAACTTGATGTGGGGTAGTACCATCAGGTACATGTGCCCATGCACGCACTAGTACAGTCATGGTAAGTCGACTCCAGTAATCAGGCTTCTGTGCGTACAGTAAGGATTCCGAATTCCATCAGAATATTTACGAGGTGATATGCAACTAATCACATCTAGAAATAAGATTTAGCTCAGACACCCTCGAGCTGATTTGACGCTCAAGTCAAATTTATTGAACAATGCTCGAGCGCGATGGCTGTGTGTTATACTGGTATATAAACGGTGCAACGTGCAACTACCAATCAATACACCTTAAGCATCATACCTCGGTGAAGATTATCATCAACATGACCGTGCTTAACATCAGTAAACTCGGTTTCTATGTTCTACTCTTGTCAGTTGCCTTCGCACAGATCCTAGTGGTCGATGCTGCAGAGAACACTGATGATGTGAATGGTGTTACTTGTAAGTGGATCCCGGCGATGATGTCGAGCAGGACTGATGAGCTTCTAGCGGTGAATCATTTTTGAAACCTAAATACAGCTGGAGGGTTGAAAGTTAACGCAAAGAAGGATGTATTAGTACATGAGCACATTGCGGGTGATATTAGGGGTAGAAGATGTGTTCCCACGTACGGGATCGTTTGTTTATTGTTTGTTTATACAGAATGCATCCCGTTACACCCATGCAGTGATTCTGATTAGTCCACTCGGCGGTACTATTTTGATGTTTCCATGATCTTGCAGGGCTAAATCTCTTCAGACTCCAACTTCGGAGCGAGGCCTGCATGTGCGGCAGCATCATGACTGTGGGCCGTCGAAAATGCTGAGCAAGAATTTGTGAGGATTAAATCTCGTAGTGGTTGTCATTGTTGTCACTGTGACATACGCAGTTGCTTCGAGAGTATGCTGACGAGAATTTTGTGAACAGAGGATATCAATCAGGTACGAGCAGCAAAATGTGACACGTACGTTTCTCGTCTCAAAGATGCTCATCTCAGCGGAAGTTAATAGACCAACGCTGAGGCCTGAGGCCTGAGGTGCGAAAAAGGTGCGAAGCAAGTACATATAGATCTATAGAAGATCTGTGGCTGAGCGCTGGGTGGCGAAGGTGCTATATATACAGTACATAGTAAGTGAGAAGGATAACATCTCAGGTTGGCTATGCTGACCGCACTAGCTCAAACTTTCCTCTGAAATGTAGAATTCTATCATTGCCATTGATCCCGTCCATAGTTCTTGAAAACATTAACTCGCGATTCAGCGCTCAGCGCTGCAGCGCCCGCACTCAAGGAGCCTTCCAACAGCTGTGCAAAGGATACGGTTTCGTATTACTATTTAACGAGGTGCTAACATCATGATTCATCTGATCTATCATGTCATCTAGTTGGACACCAGACGAATCATCTGAAACGCTTCTTGCAGAGAAAGGTTGGTTGCAGGGTACAGTGGTCGGTGCCGTTGCATATGGCATTGAAGTCGCACTGTACTTTATGTGCTTCCACCTCCTTTTCCAGCAGATGAACCGCAGCAACTACAAAAAGCACCTGCCTCCACTCATATACATCATCACAACTTTTATCCTCAGCACCTTATTTATGGTATCACTAGCCGATTTCACACAACTCGCATTCATTCAATATCGCGATTTTCCAGGTGGTCCGAACGCATTTGAGAATATCATGTTCCGCCTTCCCGTGGACAGTCTTGGAAATGTCAGTGGTTTTCTAATGATAATTCTTTCTGATGGATTGGTCGTGAGTAAAGGTATTCGATGTTGAGAATGTTAACGCTAATATATCTGTTCAGATGTGGCGCTGCATGGTATTTTCCAAAGGGTGTATGGTGCCAATGTGGATCATCATGTTTTTCCCTTGTCTGCTGTACGTCGCATCCACCGGTAAGTTGATTCCTTCGAATGTCTGTTTGATTGTATTGGACACTCACTACTACATCGGTTAGCTATAGGTCTAATGTGGCTGCTTCAAGTAACCACCAATTCCCCGTATCTTTCCTCGACTAGTATCAACTACACCGTTCCATTTCTGAGCTTCTCACTCGCACTGAACATCATCATCACGATCATTATCGTACTCCGTCTACTCACATATCGTCGTCGTATTTCCAAAGTTTTTGGCTCTAGCTATGGTACTCGATACATGTCGATTGCCGCGATGATGATCGAATCGGCCGCTCTTTATTCCACATTTTCGGTGGCATTTCTGACACTCTTCCTGCTAAACAATCCCATCTCGGCGACATTTATTGGGGCACTCACTCAGGTTCAGGTTAGCATTGGTGAATGAACATTCGCGCTGCTCATGACATGCCACAGATAATTTCAATGTTGCTCATAATTTTCCGAGCTACGCAAGGAAAGGGTTGGTCTCAGGATATCATGTCCAGGGTCATGACCTCGAGGCCACCAGTGCAAGTAATCCGCATGGATGATTTCAAGCACACTTTGCGGGATGGCTCCAAAACTTTCTCCGGTTCCACTGGTATTGGGGCGCATGCGACCTACAAGAGTAATGACCCCAATTCAGCAGAAGCGGCTGTGTGATCAAGGTCGCTTAGATACCTACTGAGATGATAGTTGTCGAATGTCCCGGGTCGCAGTAAATACATCTTGACACAAATTTAGTATTTAGTATACTTGACAGTGGTATGGATCTTAGCAGGATTCGATTCAATTGTTTGTACTCTACGCCGATTACTTTGAAAATAATACATTCAGCGAAACCTTGCATTGACCGCCTTGGTCACCGTACCGTGTAGGTGAAAATACATCAATATTGATCGCATAGAAGATGGAGTATCAGTGTTCGACTAACAGGTAAGGGCCGGCTTCCTCAAGGAGCTGATGCGCTCAAACTATTCATGTCCGCAGATAAGTAGTAATTGGCGATGGATGGACCCTCACCATCAGTTGCTAACCTTTGCCTCCTATGACAAAGTTAACTTTATATCATCCCAGAGCCACACAGTCAGTATCTCTGGCTAAAGCAGCCCTGGTTGATGGGTCCCCGTACCTTGTATTGAATTATACAGGTGACTGCTATCATAGCCGCATTCCACATTATACGACAACTCTGATTGATTGCTCTGGGAATCACGTAGTATCATTATGTCCCCATACCACTAAGTAGTGAGTTCATCAGAAGTCCTCGTGGTGCATCCTAAAAGCAGCTGTTAACTTTGTTTGTTATCTCGGCTCCACTGCCACGACCCGTCGGGCAAGCCCTGGGCGCATCAGCTCACGCGGCCACCATGAGACCTGCGGCGATACAATCATTCCTCCGAGCCCTGCCTAGGCACTCCAAGTGTGCTACATTGATGTGAGACCTCCGAGTCCTTGCATTGCACAAGTCAAAGACATGACTTTCGTTGGTTAGTACCTGCAGAAATACTGTAGGTCCGTGTCATCTCCGTTGCGCGTTTCATCTTCTGCACGAAATGAGCTAGTTTATTCAAATTCTTACTTGCGAGCATTGTGTTTGATGGTTCGACTTGGACAGCCTTTTGGTGTATTTTTGCCATCGCGGCAGCGCGACGAAAAATTCAAGAGGATCGCATCGGATTATGATATCATCCAAGTTGCGCAGTTCAAAGATATGGCTCTTATCAGCCACACATCAGGACACTAGATATACTGTAGTTGTATGAGCTATTTTCGTCGCTAAAATTGTTCACGAAAAAGACTCACCCTGGAAATTCGAGAGACACACTATCTGGTTGGAGAGATAGAGATATATCGCGAAGCCATGATTTGTAAAATGCTACCACATACTCTGACGGTGCATTCAAGTTACACGAAAGACACAACGCCAATGACGTTATTTAATATATGAGCATAGCCCAGAGGCAGATCAGGAATAACTACCACTGCTCACCATCACTCTTTCACCAGGCCAGGGTCAGCCCATACTACTCGAGTCTCGGCCCGCAAGCAAGGGAGCTTTGTGTTGAAAGTGTGACACAAATTTACAGGTACGCCTGTAATGACACAACATTCAAGTTCAAAATTGTAGTCTCTTCAAATGTAGAATGTGCAGCTGTCCGATGCTGTCGTATTAGAACATAAACTCATGGCCAAAATTGATGGTCGTGGCGCAAATATGTACCAATTCGTACGTACGTAAGTGCCGCTCAGGCTAATCGGTTCTCTTCCTCATGCTCCAGGCCGTACAGACCACCGAATCAGACACCATAGGGAATCATTGACTCTGAAACTGATCATGACGACGACCACAAAGCAAAGACCTTCGCGGACTGTGCTCCATTGGCCTCTTGTCATCGTGATCTTCTGCACGCTCATCAACTTGTCGCTAGTCTTTCTCTAAGGCTCTTTAGGATCCTCAGACAAACTATCACTCGAAAGAATATCTACCTTCTCCGTCGTCCTTCCTAATACATGCGGTTCGACGAGATCGCACGGACGTCATTCGCCTCCTACTAGTATTCCGAGAGAGTTCACAAGTTTCCCCATGTCTATCAGCTTGGTGGATCGTTCTGCGCCAAGTCATGTTCTCAATGACTATCTTGCCATGCGTGCTGGCACAATCTCACCTGATGATTGCAAAGTCCATGTTACGCAAACTGTCGGTTTGTTTTCCTTTTCTGTATTCTTTAGACTGATGGAATAAAAAGTTTCAATTCAGGGTGATTGACCTGGGGCATGTAAAATTGCGAATTGCACCTCGCCATTCTGCCTGTGGACCGACTCGCTACACTTGCTTTAAACCGCCTTAATGCCAGTGTACCAGTTGACATTTCAACCATATCGTTTAACGTTCGACCTCCACGGATCGTAAGACTTGATAACATAGTGCTATGGCAAGACAGCTTGAACTTGCACAGAAAACTTTCTTGTGCGATTGACGACATTCTTGTTTTCGAGTTAGGATGCTCGGAGGACGAACCAAGCGGCGGCTGTGATATAGAATGGTGGCAGGCTCACAAGGAGATTGAACCAGGTCAGTGCTTTACCGCTCTATGAAATCCGCTGACAGCATAATCGAAACTCTAGCTGTTTATATGATCCAGCGTTCCACTGTGTAACTTTACTTTCCTCGGATTCGGGTCATCGAGACGAAGCATTTGGTTTATTTAACAGGTTAAGGCATCTAGTTACAATTTTACGCAATCCTACTTGCCATCAACCATCTTACTCGTGTACTTGCGAATGTGGACCAATCCCATGAGTCAGACCACTTCCAGAGTGAGTCTGTACAGTATTGAAACTTCTTCACGGCAGCTGAAAATTTTGCTTGACTTCGGCACTTTCAGTTTCAACTACATATTTCATTCAATTCTGCTTCATGCTTCATGCATCGTGGTCGTTCAACGTTCAACCTCGGAATGAGCATGAGAGATAAAATTGTATTCAAACATTGTGTCCGAGTACGAATTTTGTGAAAGTGCCAACTACCATGGAGTGCTGATTGCACAGGAAGGATTCCATGTCAACAGCTGATTTGCCTGTGGCGTAGCGCACATAGTAAACGTGTCATCTGCCAACGATCAGGTACGAACAGACTTGAAGATCTCAATGATTCGATGTGAACATCAAATGGTGAGGCTATTTTCCAAACTACTCACATGAGAGCTATGCACCCAAGCTACTTCGCATCGCCTTCTTGATTGGCGAGCATCATTACATCAAAAATCCTGATGCGCAAGCAAAACAGTGCAGAATGCTTGATGGAGATCAATATTCTTCGCAGTGGAAACAGAGAGAGATGCTGTTGCTTATGGCGATCAAATGTCATATCCGCCGCATACTTTGAACCTTGAGTCAAAAGCTGGAGTACCGTAAGTATGTAACTGGACCTTTACATGGAACTTGCTGTGGGCTACCATCAGGTAGTGCACATTGCATATGCTAATGTACTGGTCTAGTCGTAGTAAGTCGACTCCAGTCATCTGCTGTGCATGCACTGGCAGTCGCCATCAGAGCATAGTACAAGTGTCAATTAAAATACATCTAGAAATGATTTTTGACTAAATTAGTTAGGCGATGCTCAAGCGCTCAGCGCTCAAGCTTCAAGGGCGATGGCTGTTTGCTACGATTCATTATATGCAGGTCATGAACTAGTATTTAGAGGGCGTAACTTCTAATCTTACTTTAAAACAACGCATCCTAAACACCATACCTCAGCGAAGAATATTATTAACATGACCGTACTTAACATCAACAAACTCAGTTTCTATGTTCTATTCCTGTCAGTTTCCTTCGCACAGATACTAGTGGTCAGTGCTGCACCGCTGGAAGCTTCTGATGATGCGACGTACCTTTGGTGGGTGGGGTCCCGGCGATTATGTGGAGCAGGACTGACGAGTTTCTAGGGTCGGACCATCCTTATTGAAACCTAAATACAGCTGGAGGGTTGAAAGTTGACACAAAGAAGGACTGATCGTTACATGGACACGTTGCGGATGACATTGGGGGTAGAAGATGTGTTTGCACTGTAACGGGGCGTGCCGGTGGGACGTTCCAGTGGACTCGATCAGGCAGGAGAAGTAGCAGGGTGCTGGAGTTAGGAGCGGGTAGAGTAGCAGAGTGCTGGAGTTAGGAGCGGGTAGAGTAGCAGAGTGCTGGAGTTAGCAGAGTGCAGCAGGGCGAGAGGTGGCAGAGGCCCGGCGGTGTCCGGGGTCACGGTAGTAGTCATTCGGCTTAGCGCATGTAGCAGACACCATCATCTCCTCCACGCAGACACGACAGCGGGGTTTTCCCTCCTTCTCTCGACTGCAGTGCTGGCCGATCCAGCACATAATTTTTTGACCAAACCCTAGTTAGTATGGTAATAGTAATACTCAAGTTGCGATGGCTGTTTGTTATGCTTCCTCATGAACTGGTACTAAACTAGAGGTGTAACTCCCGATCTCACTGTAAAACCACACACCCTGAACACCACACCTCAGCGAAGAATACCATTAACATGACCGTGCTCGACATCAACAAACTCAGTTTCTATGTTCTGCTCCTGTCAGTTGCCTTCGCACGGGTCTTAGTGGTCAGTGCATCAGTAAACCGGTGAGTTCTTGCTGGGGATATGCTGATTATGGTGCTTTTACATGGTCATATATTGCTTTATATCACTTTATATTACAATGTGACGAAAACCTTTCCTATATATTACGATATATTACGATATATGATGATATCTTCTTCTCACAGGTTCTCTGATGCGTGGTGCAGAGAACGTGGATAGTGTGTGTGAGTGGGTCCCGGCAATTACTATGTGGAGCAGGATTGACGAGTTTTGTGACTACAGGCTAGCTCTGCCGATGCCCATTGAGAATCATCAAGACCAAAAGCTGTTCTAAATGGTTGCATCACACCTAAGCCGCCATTTAAATTTGTTAAACCGTATTGGGTTTTGTTGGTTTTGACATCTGAATAACTCTGAATAAGCGGCACGTTGGCAGCTGTACTAATCTGAAAAACACCGCTTATGTCGCTGCACGTGTGCACCCTGAAAGACCCTGAAGCATCCGATTGGTTGCAGATGCTGCAGAGCAACTGCAGAGATCTACAAAGTTGTCTTTGCGTATCTTATCTGATCTTTGCTTAGACAGTAGATTGACAACATCGCATTGATTGATATACTGCTACTAGTACATTGTGAAATAAAATAACCTATCAAAAATCTGCGTGTGATGAATGATATCATTCGTCGTCTGAAAAACAGATCTGAAGATCTAAATGATTTTGTGTGGGCACCAACTGGTGAGGTCATTTTCCAAACTACTGCACATGAGCTCTATGCACCCAAGCCATCGCGCACCGCCCTCTTGATCGGCAAGCATCATTACATTAAAATTCCTGATATCCAAGAAAAACAGTGCAGAATGCTTGGCGAAGATTAATATCCTCCGCAATGGAAGAGAGATGGTGTTCTTACTATGCTTATGGCGATTAAATGCTCCTCAGGGAAGTCTCAATAGAACTTGCTGTGGGCTACCGTCAGGTACTGCACACTGCATATTCCAATGTACTGGTATAGTCGTAGTAAGTCCGCTCCAGTCATCTGCTGTGCATGCAGTCGTCATCAGAGCATTCACGAGGTGAAGTGTGACCAATTGAAATACATCTAGAAAGTATTTAGAGGGTGTAACTCCTGATCTCACTTTAAAACCACGCATCCTAAACACCACACCTCAGCGAAGAACATCATTATCATGACCGTGCTCAACATCAGCAAACTCAGTTTCTATGTTCTACTCCTGTCAGTTGCCTTCGCGCAGGTCCTAGTGGTCAGTGCTGCAGATAACAACAACCCGGATTCTGACGATGGAGATGTTATCAGTGAGTGGGCCCCGGAGATTATGTGGAGCAGGATTGACAGGTTTCTAGGGCCATTCTATCCTTATTGAAACCTAAATACACCTGGAGGGTTGAAAGTTGACACAAAGAAGGACAGATTAGTATATGGCCACGTTACGGACGACATTGGGAGTAGAATGTCTTCGCACGCACGGGATTGTTTGTTTATACTGGCTTCTCGAGATCTCTTGTTAATTTGTTCATTACTTATATACAGTGATTCTGATAATGCAGGGCTAATTTGTTGGAGCGAGGCCTGCATGCGCGACAGCATCATGAGAGTGAGCCATGCCTTTGGTCGAAAATGCTGAGTAAGAAGTTGGAGGAATTAAATCTCGCGGTCATCATCGCTCGCTGTTGCCTCGAGAGTGCATTGAGAGAATTTAGTGAACCAAGTATTAAGGTACGAAAAATAAGGTGCATCGCGCACGTTCCTCGTCTCGACAATGAAGAAGTGACAGAAGACAGCCTCGGAATACAACCAGAAATTGTACACCAGCTGGAATAAACATTAAATGAATAAAAATATACCAAAATTTTGAGAGAAGGCTCGCATAGCACTTCCATCGCAAAGTGAGCGTCGAATTTCGCAAGCCACCGTAGGGATCCGGGGACAAAACAGATCGACGAGACTTGTATCATGAATGAAGTACAGAACGAACCCTCAGTTATTTCATGACATCGGTGCTCACCTTCCTTGTGTTCTCTCTTGTGAAGAACATACGGGTGTTCCTGTACCATGGTGTTGAATGGAGCATGTGAGTATGAATTATGAATGAAAAAGAGCGGATGACACTAAAATCTCAACATGTTCCGGCTAGAGAATTCCGAGCGCTCGGTATGTGATCGTAGGCCGCATTTAAGAATATTAACAGAGATTTTCAGTACACGTCCTGTTGGCATCGAATTCCAGTCCTCGACATTCGGGCCTGCGAGTTCTCCTGGTGGAGTACTAAAGTCCCTGAGAGCATATATGTAAGTAGCATAGGAGACAGGGGAGCTCAGTTTATCCACACCTGAGTTTCAAACGTGGCGAGGAGCGTAAATGGTGATTCGCGCGGCCTAGAGACTCGAGGTGGTGCGGCATCACTAGGAGCACGAGACAAAGCAACGAGCATGTCGCGATGCTACATGATGCTGTCGTACCTCGACTCACACTCGAAGATCTCAAAGCTTCGCGATTTGACCCTGTAGTACCAGCTAACATCAGGAAAACCCTCCGCTATAAACCTAGGCTAAGTATGTGGAATTTGACAAAATTTTCTCTAATTCCCGATAGTTTCACAAAAGTAGGCACCTTAGTGAATTAGAGAAAGTTTTTTACTGCCCCGCCATATCTCACTCGCGCTCACTAGTTTAGTGATAATCATAATAAATTTACAAAGCTTTATGCAAATTTACAATGAGTTATCATGGAACATGATGACATCAATGATGACGGCTCAGGATTTTGATTTCGTTCGAACGTTTTACAAGAACAAATTAAGCTTTTATTAAATGAGGGATATGTCAACATAGCTGAGTAGACGAGAAAGGAGCACTTCTAAGAGAATGAGTCATAATGCAAAAAAGAAGATAAACGAATGCGACTATTTAACACAAAACTGCCAGTCAACCCAGAAATCTACTCTTCGTCATCCATACCATCAAGATCGAGGAATGCCATTGCAGAGTCGTGTGACCCGACGAGAGCAGCGTTGCCGTTGGCGGAGAGTTGTCTTATGGAGAGGTGAGACTCGGACACGATAGTCAATAGTACAATGCAGAAATCAACTCACTGGATAGCATCAAAAATATCGGCCATCATTTTATGAAACTTGCCTGGTGCGGCCCCCTTCATTTTCTCGAGAAGTTTCACATGAAAAAAGTAGACCTCGCTGAATAAATTGCCTGTAAAATTGAACTTGGATGGAGATCCATTGGCCTTCCACAGAAGCGCAGCATATACCTGTGCACTCGTCAATACATGAACTCAGACTGGATCAAGAAATATACTGAAGTACTGGTTAAGGCCACCATTGGAATCGTCACCTCGGGCCGTTGGGCCTTGTTGCTCGCGATCTCCTCAAAACGGTCTGAAAATTTCATGCCAACTGACTTTGGCCCGTGGAAGTAGCGCCCTCTCATCAGATATGGCAAGATCTCAGCGAAGTACGGTTTTTTTGACTGTGCAATTGGAATATTTTTCTCCTGCAGTCACTGGGTAAATCAGCATGTGTGACCCAGAATATAGCCACCTACATTGAAATGCTGCTCATAATGATAAACGTGATTGACGAGCAAAGCTTTTGCGGTGTCGACACAATCAGGCCCGAGACGGTAATATGCTGTCACCTGTGCGCAAGCATCGTCTTTCAATTCTGAGCGGAAAAGTGGGACTCTGGCTTCCACCTGCACGAGGTTCAATTAACTAGTACTCCAGTAGAGAATACAACGTACCAGCGTAGCAAGAGCTGTCACATACGAGTCGTCGGACTTGAGGCGATCCTGGATTATTGGGACACCACAGGCACGAGCTGCTGTTAAGAGCACATTCCGCGTGAACAGACTCTTCTCGGTGAGTTCTGGATACCCGTTGACAAATGTAACGTGGACTTTGGCCTCCAATATCGCTCTTTGGACGACACGGCGTGTGTCGATATCTTGGTCCATCAACTTCAGCTTACCGGTATTCGTCCGTACGAGTCTGGCACTTCCAGGGCGACCATGACGTGTAAGGCCAGAATCATGATAATCTAAGTCGACCTCTTGAGATCCCTCTAAGTCGACCTCTTGAGATCCCTCTAAGTCGACCTCTTGAGATCCCTCGAAGTCGACCTCTTGAGATCCCTCTAAATCGTTGGACTCATCCGGCACCATAATTTCTTCGAGTTCCTTGTCCGACTCGGCAATACCATCTGCCCAAACAGGCATCTGCAGTGTCCGTGACATCAAACACGGAAATAAGCACAATAAAACTTTCGCTCACCTCGTCTGCTCGTTTGCGATCACGTGCGGACTGAATTTTTGCCTTCTGAGGGGCCACTGCACGAGTCCTTGGTTGGGTCGACGCGAAGGGGAACGGCTCAGCTATCTGCCTCGACTTCTTTGAGGCAGTTGTGCGAGGCCAGGTTGCTTGCGTCAAAGGAAAGTCAGCCTGTTCAGCTTTCGACATCGAAACAAAAATTGGTTTCTGAAAGGAAATGTATAGTCTGTTACCAGAACAGTAACGATGACACTTACTTCAGTTGATAAGGACTTTACGACAGAGTCAATGGGCTCCTCCAACTCGTCGTCAATATCCTCCATGTCCAAGTTATTTTCCTGCTCCGAGTCATCATGACCAGGTTGGAATTCGGAAATCTCATCGCTGAGTAGTTCATCGTCGGACACTGCATGCGGTTTAGCAACTAAATGGTACCCGGGCCAGGTGAATCAGTCAATGACTATGAAATTATAGTTCATTTGCTCACCTCGGCGCTTCTTGGTAAGTGACCCTGTTGCGTCACGAGCTTGAGGTACAGTCTCATGTAAGCATAAGTCCGTTGCTTGGCGCAAACACTTACCTGGACGCTTTCTAGCCACAGGCCCAGGGATCTCTGGGACATGAGGACTAGCAACACTGCTGCGGCCATCATGACGCTTGGTGGCACCGGTAGACACATGGGTTTTGCATTGCACAGGAGCTTGAGTGAGCTTCCCTCCAGTGGGACGCTGCCGCTGTGATTTTGTAGTCATCCAGACTAGGACAATATCCGGTGAGAAGTGTTCCACAATCATCATATAACACTGACCTGCGTTTTCCATTGCCTTTTGCTTTGCGCTTCGAATACCTATAATGTATATTCACAGTTAGCTCTCATTATGACAGTAAGTACTACTTACTTCGACTAGAACCAGTGTTATTGGCGCGTGCCATACTGACTTGTTGAATGGTACTTTAAACAAGTAGATATTAGTAGATGATTTTGGAATGTAATGGAAGGAAATTGAGGAAACTACCTTGTACTGGCCTTGGTACTACCAATTTATATTAGATGCCACCGCCAAGGGAAAACTTACTCGCCTGCCATGGGTTCCAAAACGATTGAATTTTTGAGCGCCTGTTTTAGATTAGTTCAGGCTTCATCGGATCGCGAACAAAATCAAAGGTACAATTTGGTCAGCATCAATTTCAGGATCACTCCTACCCTTAACAAATAAGGTCCTTGAGAGCGCATGAGTATAGGCAGCTGAAAAGAAATATACAGAGGCTAGAATTTGACCAGGCTCCTTTCCCAGCCCCCGATTCAAGTGTGAGGGGCGATATCTGAGGGCACCGTTTGATATGTCACCTGATACAAGAAAATTCGAACCATGACCTTATTCCCTACGGGAATAAGGTCATGCTGGGTTCGAATTTTCTTGTATCAGGTGACATATCAAACGGTGCCCTCAGATATCGCCCCTCACACTTGAATCGGGGGCTGGGAAAGGAGCCTGGAGTTTAATTTTACCTTCAATATCTTAGTGTTCGAATATCATCTTTACTGGACTCTCCTGTTCTAGAACTTGGTGTGATCATAACAGGTATAGTGTAAGCTCAAGGAAAAAGGATGAATTTTCATGTGCGAAGACACTGTGCATTTGTAGAGACGTTGAACGAAGTACAAGTTATGAGTATGTGTGCTACATGATATCTACTACAGCACCATGACCCCAGTCATCATCATGTCAAGTCGAGCTAATACATTAGTTGATCGGAGCTGCGAGTCTCCAACATTGAGCATGTGAGACTTAGAATGGTCGAATATGAGTTTCTGGACATCGTCCAGACCATCAATGTAGCGAACGATGTCATTGAAAGTGTCTTTCCCTTCAAGCTGCGTGAACAGTATGACGACCGGTGGATGAGGCAGCTGCTCCCGCAGCACAAGCTTCACAATGGAACCAACAGCGGAGATAGCATAATTGACTTGCTGGAGTCGGTCTGATGTCATAGTGGCAAGAAATTCGTAAATGCCGAGGTCACTGCACCATATGAAGTGAACGGTGACGTGAAAGATTAAGGGATTGTCGAGGATGCCATCTAGTAAAACGATGTTCCCGTCCTGAAGAACAACCAATCAACACTGTCTATTTGAAACAAAATTTGAACATACTATGTCAACTGTAAACCTATGCATGAAGGCCAGTGGGTTGGCACTATCGTTGATCAACGCAGCTATCACGCGACCCCGGAATTGATCTGGCGCGACATTAGAGCCGACTGGTGGGTAAAGGTTGTAGCCCAGGGCAAGACAACTCCGAATGATGGCCAGGAGCTTCCGAAAAACGTTATTCCATGCCACCATAATCTGCTGCCGTTGGCTACTCGTTGTTTTAATTGTAGCTAAATAAATAGATTAGTATTCCACTCAATTTATCTGCCAAAACGTACCGTTAAGACCCGGGATAGACGCTGCCTCCGAAATTGCAACAGATACAAGTGCCGCACCCGTGTCATCAGTACCGGCCATCGCATTTGCTGTCAGTATGAACCTCACAATTCTTCTCTTCGCGCGTTCAACAATCTGCTTCTTAACTTGAGGCGTAACATCAAGGATAATGGGACCTGGTCTGGCTGGCTGCATAGCAGCAGGAACGGTGTTGGATGTGGACTGTGAGGTGACAGATTCTACCGGCATGACCGGCATAATTGCTGGCTGCATGGCCATGGGTTCAGGTGGCGGCGCAGGGGCTAGATGGGCCGTGTGTGTAGTATGGGGGACAGTGACTGCGGGTTGCACAGGACCAAGGGCAGCCATCGTTGGCTCAGGCGGCGGAACAGCTCTGGGTCCGGGTATGAAATACGGCATGGTGGAGGAGGTCCGAGCACGCCGATGCCTCTCAGAACGCTGGGAGGATCCTACAAACGACTGGGGAAAGGGTAGTGGGTAGAAGGTGTCGAACTGTGCGGAGGAGGGAATGAGAGGCTGAATGCTGTCGACAGTGCTACTGGTCGACGGATCATTAGTGCTGGATGGCCCAGGGGAAGGTTTTCGGGAGTTAGATAGCAAATCACCGGTGTTCATCATGTGGTGGTGGTCGGTCATACGGAGGAATCGTTCAAGTGGATCCTCATCATCTGCTTGATGCACTATTAGCTCGCGACTACTATAACATTGGATGAATACATACCGTTCAAACTTGTTCCCGATCTGAATCCATCGTATTGATTGTCATAGTCATTTTCGAATGACTCGCTGGTAATGTCTTGAAGTTCACCAGAAATGCCTGAACGCGGATTATGGTCAGGCATCTGCATACTTTGCTGAGAGCAAGTAGGTAAGGAGAAATGAGATGGGGAAGGAGTGGCCACTGGTTAAAGGGTACTTACACCATGCGTCCGGGGGCTGGAATTGAGCGATTTCCTGCATCGCGCGCTAGAAACATGATGTAGAACCTCATTATAATATGTAATAGCGAATAAAAGAAAAATTAAATAGAGCCAAGGTATTGGGCTAGCCATATCTGATACTAACGGCAATAATCCATGATAATGGCGATGCATAAGGTCAATATCAGTGGGGTGAGGCTCAAGAGATGATGGGAACGGAAGCGAAATTTGAATTGACTCACTCAATCCGTTGAATAATTGACCATGAGCATTGCATGTAAGGCGGCCAAAGAGAAGCAGTACATATATGGGATGTTTGAATGTCGACAAATATGGTTATTCAGTACTGAGAATCTTAATAATGCTGCGCACTGACTTCCATGTGCCGATCAGATGTTGTATTCTTTGACAAATGTGTAGTTCCAACGAGCATAATAGTGTGACAACAACTTGAAAATAAATATGAAAAAACTCTAGTACATTATAACTGCACAGAAGAGAAAATACATATGGTTAAAGCGATACTATCAGACGCGCCATAGACACCTCCATATTGATGTCACGATGATGGCAAATGGGGATTGATGAAAATGTGATCTGAGTTCACCGCTGCTTTATATGGTTGATCAGCGTGGTAATACTTCAAACGAGAATTTCATGTACCGATGGAAGAGCAATTATCAGGTAGTCGACTGTTCAGAGCCTTCGCATGAAGCCTCGGAGTCAAGGTCCGAATCATCCACATGGCAAGATTCATCAGATGAGTCGGAAGGTTCCTCATTGCTGAGGCAGGAGAATGTGATGGGGTACATGGGGAATACTTTGGGAGATTTCAAAAATGCCTTCCTGACACGTACACTCAGGAGCTTCGCAACCTGATCAGTTTGTGTACTGATGATACGAAGGGCCTCGGATTCGTCCTGGTAGACAGCTTGGAGATAATTCCTATCATCACCCAGTTCTGCCTGGCCATGCTGCGAAAAAATCTTCCTGAAGCACTGCAATTCCCACTCTGCCAACTTGAATCGTTCTTCGTTTTCAGCGTGGATACCATCAAGAAATATTGAGTGACGCTCAGCCTCTTCGATTTCCCACGTTGTCAACAACATGCGTTGGCGCGCAACCTCGCGCGTTGCAAGCTTGGCCTTGTATCCTCTGTACAAGGTCGAAGTTGTCATTTGGGAGAGGCCACTCTCTAACTGTTCTTCAAACTTTAAGACTACATTAGCATGATTATTAACATCGGGAAGTCAATTCAATATACCTTCTTAGTTGCTTCCAATGGAAATTCGGATTGGAATTTGAGATTCATCACCCGGGCTGCATAACAAAGTTCCAATGGAGCTGGGTTGGTGGGGTATGGGAGAGACGTCCTTGATGGTTTCTTGCGTGCGAAGTGCTGTTGAGGAGATAGAGACCGTGACCTTTTGCCATGCCTAGAGAATAGGCTCTCCTTTACATCAGCAGGCTTGGATGCTCCATCCCGTTCAATGCGTGGAGAACTATTCATCATGTTTGGAGAGAGGCCAGATTGTAGGCTTGAATTACAAAGAGTCGTGTCAGACTGGCCCAAGGAGTCGGGAGAAGATGGAATTGTGGGACTGCTCATTTCTACAGGTGACAAAGGCAAATGAGGGCTGCAAGATTGAACAGGAGACGGAGGTGAGTTGGCCATCCTATAGTAAGGGAATCTCGGAACTTAGGTGGTGATACAGGTGATATATATTAATGGATACCTAGCGCGGAGCCTGAAAAAGGAAGCTTACAGGGTGTACTACTACAGTAGTATCTATCAGCAGAGCGCAGTGATAGCATTATACAGCATGGTCAGTTGCCCCGGATGTCATGAATCCTTTTCTGCAACAGGTTATAGTCAGCATCTAGCCAAGACTAGACAAACGCCATGCAGAGCCTTCCTTGCTACTTTTCGTGCAAATTCTAACTCCCAGGGCCTGGGGAGTCCGAAGAATCCGACACTCCAAGCTGGCACACATTCCCTGTCACCGCCTCCAGGGTCCTTGGAAGAACAAGATCATCCAATCTTATTTGAGGGAGATTTTTTTGGTACTTACGAGGAAGCTGATCTAGAATGGCCAGATGACCATTCTGGTGACGAAGAAGAGGACCTTTACAACGATGAATGGGAACCTCCTGCACAGGACAATAATGATGAACCGGAACCTCCGGTACCTGACGACGACATACTGGAAAATGAAGGTGCTGAAGCCTTGGAGAACCGAGAAGCTCGTCGGGAGATTGAGCAATGTACCATGGAGCAAGATCATATTGTTATTGTGCCCTATCCGGATGCCCATGCAGGCGTACCAATAACTGGACAGCCTGCTCATGATTCAAATACCACATACGGTATAGATGCTGGCAACTCCAACAATATTTACGCTCCTTTCACCTCCCAGATAGACTGGGACGTTGCTAAGTGGGCAAAGTTACGCAGTCCTAGTTCAACGGCATTTACTGACCTTCTTGCAATTGATGGGGTAGGTGCCAGTGAAGGTTACATCCTTGATTGTTCTGATATCCATATGTAGGTCAGTGAACGGCTCAACCTTTCATTCAAGAATTCAAAAGAGCTTAATAAGATAATCGACAAGGACCTTCCTGGACGACCAAAGTTCAAGCATGAACAAATCATTGTCGCTGGTGAAGCATTTGACATTTTCTACCGAGATATTGTCGAATGCATCAGATCTTTATATAGTGACCCTGACTTCACCGATTTTCTCATATTCAAACCGGAGCATCATTACACTGATGAGGATAAGACGATACGATTATTTCATGATATGCACACTGGTCAGTGGTGGTGGGACACACAGGTAAGCATGGTATCATAAATTCGATGCTTGGCCTACATTATTGACTTTGTAATTCAAGAAAGCGCTCGATCGACGACGTCCGGGTGCCACAATCATCCCTGTCATCATATCGAGCGACAAAACCCAGGTTACCATGTTCCGCAACAAAACTGCATATCCCGTCTACCTTACAATCGGTAACATTCCAAAGGAAATCCGACAAAAGCCATCCCGTCGCGCTCACATTCTCCTAGCGTATTTGCCTACTACCCGCCTTGAGCATATCGCAAATAAAGCCTCAAGACGTCGAGCTGTTGCAAACCTCTACCATGCCTGTATGAGTCGCGTACTGGCTCCCCTAAAGACTGCTGGAGTTGATGGGCTTGTGATGAGTAGTGGCGATGGTGCACGACGTCGTTGTCACCCATTGTTCGCGTGCTTCGTTGGTGACTATCCTGAGCAGTTACTTGCTGCTGGAGTGAAGTCGATGGAGTGCCCGAAGTGCGATGTTCCCACAGACGAACTCGAAAGTAATACAGCGCAATGCGATATACGCGATCTTCATGCTGTGTTGGATGCTCTCGCTCTGATCGATGAAGGTGACCTGGCCTTTGTACAAGCATGTCGTGCTGCTGGAATCAAACCAGTTGTCCATCCATTCTGGGAGGACCTGCCCTATACAAACATTTTTCAGGCAATCACGCCTGACGTGCTGCACCAACTATATCAGGGTCTCGTCAAGCATTTGCTTGGATGGTTAGCACAAGCGTGTGGAGCTGCAGAGATTGATGCACGATGCCGTCGGTTACCTCCCAACCATCATATCCGACTATTCATGAAGGGTATTACCAGTCTCAGTTGCCTCAGTGGTACTGAACACAGCCAAATATGTCGCTTCCTCCTTGGCATTATTATTGACATCCGGCTTCCCGGAAATCTTGCTTCGTCTCGCCTTCTAAAGGCTGTACGCGGTCTCCTCGACTTCCTCTACCTTGCGCAATATCCATGTCATAGCTCTGAAACATTACTTTTACTAGATGAAGCTCGTGCACTCTTTCACGACAACAAGGAGATATTCGTTGACCTTGGAATCCGAAACAACTTCAACCTTCCAAAACTCCATGCAATACGTCATTATGCGTCTATGATTCGGACGTTTGGGACAACGGATAACTACAACACCGAGTACACTGAAAGGCTGCATATAGATCTCGCCAAGGATGCCTATCATGCTACCAATCACAAGCACGAATTCACGCAGATGACACGATGGCTAGAACGAAAGGAGAAGATCATCCGTCACGAGCAGTACATAAAATGGCGCCTTGATAGAGATCGTGCTCCTTATCAACCGCGTCCACCCGACCTACGCCTCGACCGCACCCTAAAAATGACAAAGCATCCAAGCGCCAAAGCTGTCTCAGTTCCAACATTGATATCTGACTATGGCGCAACTTACTTCCGAGAAGCACTTGCTCGGTACATTGCAGAACAACAGAATCCAAATGAGGTTTTCACTCGTCAGCGGCTGGAGAACGTTGCTGCAGGTATCCATTTACCATTCCACTCCGTCCCCGTATATCACAAGATAAAGTGGTTATCGACTGATGCTCGAGGGCATGGCGATCCACTTGTGACGGTGGATAGCATACACGCTAAACCCCAACGCGCTGCTCTCCAAACGGATGATGTAGTACCAGCACGTTTCGATACTGCACTTATCAACGATGGTACTGGCAGCTCTGTTGGCATCAAAGGTATGGCACTACACTTCACTGGATTCACACTGTTATAGTGTTAGTGATAATTTTGTTGCTAGGCTTCCGCATAGGCCAAGTTCGTGTCATTTTCTCAATTCCTGCAACAGCAACACAACTATTGTTCCCTCCAGCAAACCAGCCTCCCAAGCACCTTGCGTATGTCGAATGGTTTACTCCCTTTCCTGCGACACCAGATCCCAGGCACGGCATGTACAAAGTTAGCCGATTCATTCGGTCTGGCGAGAGGGTGGCAAGTATCATTCCTGTTTCAAATATTGCCCGCAGTGTCCATCTTATCCCAAAGTTCGGAGCTATTGTACCTTGACACTGGACAAGTAACAATGTTCTCGAAGAATGTGACACCTTCTTCGTTAACTGCTATATTGATAGACATAGTTTCATAACTCTCAGATAATGCTATATCGCATTAGCAATATTTTAGAAAGAATAATTGAATTAGTGCTATTCTGTATTACTTGGTATAACTTGTCTAACTTTTGAGAAATTTGTTACACTTAGTCTAGGTTTGTATCGGAGGGTTTTCCTGATGAAACACATACCAACCAAGAAACAGGAGGAGGAAGTGTTACTGGAGGCCGTATCGAGGGAACTCCTGGAGGACATCGATGATCCTGGAGAGCTCTGAGTCGACGCTCGAGCTGGTGTTGTTGTTGTGAGTCGGAGAAATCAATGCACATGACTTTCACGTGTCCGTGTCTGGACAAGACGCAGTACACTAGTAGTCACATCAAACCAAAATCAAACCCATTTAACCAACTGCCACGATGATCAGCTCTCGCCCAATAGCTATAGCGTTTGAGGCCATTTGACGAAGACCCTATGAGTGGGTCCCGGCGATTATGACTGACGAGCTTCTAGAGCAGAGGTGGTCTCATTAAAACATAAATACAGCTAGAAAATTAGAGGTTAATGCAGATCAGTACATGGGCACACTGCAGGTGACATTGGGGGGTAGAAGATGTGTTTGCTGGCCGGGAACGACCGTCTGTTCCGTATTCAATACATCATCTCGAAAACTAGACAATCACATACCCATCATGATCACACCAGCTACAAAACGCGTCAGGGTATATTTTCAAATAACCCAAGGTATAAGGCTCGCCGTCATAACCATATGTACTACGCCTGGGGGGTCAATTATGACTACAGGCCAGCTCTGCCGATGCCCATCGAGAATCATCAAGACAGAAAGCCAATCCGAAGGGTTTTATCATGCCTAGGCACCATTGTTAGACCAGTTTTTGGCATCGGTTTTTGTTCTGAATATTCAATAGGCGGCGCATTCAAGTTGGCAGCGCAAGGAGAGTTTTTTCTGATCACGTGGCACGTTGACCGTATTTTATCGGGGTTAAACTTGTTTAACCAAGTTGAATCGATTCACGATGCTGGTAAGCCTCATGACTCAGCGTCATTCTTACAGGCCCCTTTTCATCTGGATATTTAAGTGTCTAACTGACGTGATCCGTTTTCACGTCGCACACTTGTCCCCTAAAGCACTTCTGCTCGTGCACGTTCTGCACTATCTACTCTATATATTTTTCGTCAAAACTTGAATTTAAACGCTGTTGAAATTCGGTCATACTTCCAAAACATATGTCAGACCCGAGTACCTCAAATAACAATGCCGCCAACTCGTCGCAAACACAATCTTCGCTTAGGGGACCAGGAATGCGAGGGACTTCAGTTGAGACCGACACTGATGGAGCGCATCTACCCCAACAAGACGTGGCGAAGAGGTGCCTTGACGTCGTCAGAGAGTTTAAAGCATGCAAGTGCACAAAGTTTGAAGCTTCCTACGTCATCTCCACAATCATCAAAGAAAGTCTACCCCTTGGATCAGGTGAAAATCCCATTACGGTTGCGGCTATCTACCTCGGAATGCTCGACGAATGGGAGTCGGAGCAAGACCAAGCCAACTACAGAGGAGCAGGAGCCGGAGCCGCTAGAGAACGTTCGGTTGAACCAACGTCGAACTCGCGGTTCGAAAAGGAGTCTCCAGCAGAGATTAGGAGTCGGGATGTTAGCATTGAGCCAGGAGAACCTGCTCGAAAACGAGCAAAGCTCGACTTTACCTGTCTTGAACTTAAGCCATCAGTCCTCGAAGAACCCGCCAAACCATTATCACCCAATCTCAAACTCACCATCCGCATCTTACAGAACTGGGCACAGGATCAGAAACAAGCTAAGCTCAAACTCATGTACCATGAACGCAGCCCAGAATTTCACGAGTCAGGATGGGCGGACATTGTTGCAGGACGAAGCATCAATCTCGACGCCATCCACACCATCATCACCACTTCACGAGCCGTTGACAAGCACAAGGAGACCATTGGGGACATTGAGCTCACCTATGGAGTATCAGAGACGGCCACGAAGAAGATCACTACACAAGGCCAATGGAACGCGGCATGGAACAGGGCTGCACGAGCCCTCAAATTCGCTTTCCCGTTCAGACAGGCTGAACTTAACGCCTACTCCGAGCACATCAACGAGCAGTTCGACCAACAATTGGAGAGTTACCATGGACGCGTCCTCCGATATGACAAATCAGTCAGATTTAGAGTCGGAAACACTCGAAGGTATGAGTTGTCCGACTTTGAATGCTTCAAAGACATCTACAGCTCCCATTTCTCCGCCGGAGGAAGGTTACACAATGACTCGGGAGAATCTAGCAAAGCCACGGGAGCAGGACGAGATCTTCTCGTCAAAAGAGAACCATGTCGCAAATGGAATAGTGGCGAATGCACCCGCAGCGCTGCCACTTGTCGCTACGCCCATATCTGCAACATTGAACAGGACGGCCGGTTGTGTGGACGCCGTCATGTCAGATCAAAGCATAACGAAGATCAAACCAAGTCAAAATCAACATGAGGCATATCTCAAACGTCCGCGTTTTCGTTGAGGTTTGGTTTGGTCCCCCTTAGACGCCTCGTTCAGCCCAACTGCTCGGTCTACAGAGTATGCGGACCCTGTACCAACTGCGCCCGCTTATTTAGCAGATAGTGATGCTGCCCACACGGTCGCGGCTCACCCAGAACTCTTCAAGATAATAACACCAATCAACGTTGATCGGTTTCAATGCCTGTTGAAAAACCACCCTAATCAGCCCTTTGTTCTTTCGGTGTGCTGAGCGCTTCGAGAAGGATTCTGGCCATGGGCCGACGCTTCGGATGAAGCCTACCCTTCCGTTAACGATAACTCTATGCGCACTTGCACGAAGACTGAAGAGCAACAAAGATTCATTGATGAGCAGCTTGAAGAAGAAATAAGACTGGGACGAGTATCTGAAAGTTTCGGAACGGAACTACTTCCTGGAATGTATAGTGTGCCGATGCATACTGTTCCCAAACCTAATTCTGATAAGCTACGTCTCGTCGTGGACCACACTGCTGGTGAATTCTCGCTCAACTCCATGATCGATTCAGACGCCATCAAAGGAACTAAGCTCGATGGTTTACATTCGCTGGGAGCGTCGCTGCTTCAGTTTCGGCAACAGCACCCTCATGAACAACTAGTTCTATTCAAATCGGACGTCTCGCAAGCTTTTCGTAGGTTACCAATGCATCCGCTGTGGCAGACCAAGCAGGTGCTAACGGTACGAGGACAACGCCATGTAGACCGTAATAACAACTTTGGAGGAAGAGGATCCCCCAAAGTTTGGATCTCTTTCATGTCCCTGGTCGCTTGGATCGCTATCCATCACGCGTTAATTGAGGCACTCAAGTTATATATGGACGACTCTTTTTCATTCGAACTCGCGGGGAAAACGTTATACTATGAACCCTATGAATGTTTCTACCCGGAAAAGCAAACTCGACTACTACGTCTCTGGGATGAACTTGGTGTCCCTCATGATCGTCCAAAGCAAGTCTTTGGTTGTCCTCTGACAGTCATAGGCTTCGAAGTCGACCCTAATGCCATGTCGGCTACCTTACCTTCACACAAGAAAGACGAGCTGGTGATGCACTTGCGTCAATTTGGCGGAAGGAACTTTCAGTGGACACTTCGCGAGTATCAACAACTCGCGGGGTGGTGTGAATGGAGTTTTAACGTCTTTCCATTACTCAAGCCTGGACTCTCAGCTATCTACGAGAAGATACGAGGGAAAGACCAACCACACGCTCGTCTACATGTCAACAATGGCATCATCTTCGAATTGAACTGGATGGCAGATCATATGGAGAAGCTGCCCGGGCTACTATTCTACAAAGCCTTGGACTTTAACCCACTGTCTGAGGACGTGGTAGTAGTCTACACGGACGCATCAGGATTAGGAATGGGTCTATGGTTTCCTCACGAGAACTTCGCCGGTCAGTCGCCATTGCCCATTGAAGCTCCCAAAGACACCATCTTCTTCTTCGAGGCCCTCGCAGTGTGTTCGGCCATTCATGCCATACCGAACATGATGGAAAGCCCACCTAGGATGCTCATTTACACCGACAATTCCAACACAGTAGCAATGTTTAACTCACTTCGTGCTCATCCCCCTTATAACTCCATCATTCTAGCGGCAGTGGACGTCCTGCTGGAGTATCAAGTAGACCTGCGTGTCGAATTCATCCCTGGTTCGGAGAACAGGGTAGCCGACGCACTTTCGCGATTCCAGAACGAACGTGTATTGGAGATAGCTCCTGCCGCGAGCTTCTTCGATTTCGAACCCCCTCGAGATGCGCTGGGGGCAGCGAAAAAATGATGAATGTATCTTCATCGTCCAGGCAACCTCTGAGGGAAGCCTGGACACCTGAGCGCCTCTTGTACGAGCGCTCAGTAGCACTTGGTTTCGCTATTGACTCAACAACAGCATCTGTGTACAACTCGCATCTGAACTCATACATCACCTTCTGTCGACTGCATCACCTGCCAATCGATCCAATGATTGATACACTATCTTTTTACGTGGTTTGGTTATCGCATCACATCGAACCACGCTCCGTCGACTCTTACCTTTCAGGAATCTCGAGTCGACTCGAAGACACGTATCCTGACGTCCGTGCAGCTCGACGTTCATCGCTAGTCGTACGGACACTTCATGGCTGCAAACGCCGTTTGTCAAAACCGGTACAAAGGAAATTACCTTTGAGTATCGATGACTTGCAGCAGGTCCAAAGGAAGCTTGGTTTAGAGTTAGAGCACGACAATAGTCTGTTCTTAGCTCTGCTTTTCACTGGGTTTCTGACTCTGCAACGACTGGGAGAACTCACTTGGCCTGATGCAGTGAAGCATCAATCTTACAGAAAAGTCCCTCTCCGACACACTCTCTCCATCACGGCAAGAAGCATCTCCTACACGCTACCTTATCAGAAG